GATTCAGTAGGCCTGGTGACATAGGCCGAATTCAGAACAGCGGACTAACTAGCCTACGGGTTAAATATGGACGATCCACTTGAACTCTTCCCCACGGGGAATCTATTCGGTGTCTATTAGCAGAATAGACGGCAAGGTTTTTAGTCGGTCGCCATATTTGGCCCGCGGACTAGTTAGTCCGGTATTCTGAATGCAGCCATACATGAACTCTTTGGAGTCCAAGCGCTTTACGGAGTTTTATAAAACAGTTACCATAAGTTAAGAAATGGAAATTTGGAAAGGACATCAAATATACCGTGTATTCTCTACCAGAGGTCTTCTCTTGCCGTTACAAAATTGTATCTCTGGCGGAAATTTCCCGAAAGGATCCCATATTGTTCTGCAGGCCATATTGTTCTGCAGGGAGTTGGCCCGGAATCCTATAGGGTCCTATACGTATGTTGTCCGTAACAACTCAAATAGAGTCCTGCAGGATTCCCACAGAGTCCTATAGGACTCCCTAGGAAATGTCCGTAAGGGATCTTTTAGTACAGGGCCCAGTTTCATCAACACTGGATAGAACTGTCCTATGGATAACACTATCCACTGGATAAATATTTTTTCCTCTGGACAGCCATTTTTTATTCACTGGATAGCAATTTCAGAAACTAAAAGAAGTATCTAGCGTTCAGAAAACATTATTTTACCAACAGCATAACTGCCCAGAGGATATTGAATTCCATCTAATGGATATAATGGATTTGTTATCCAGAGGATAGCACCATTCAGTGTTGATGAAACTGGGCCCAGGTTTTGAAAGAGTTAGAGAAAACCTCTGATAGAGGGTAAAAGTCAAAAGTGAGTACTCGTTGACTACATATATCATCAACTTAAAGTGTAATGCAATCGATGTTCAGTAATGCTACTACCACGAATGTCACCCTGTCACTGCGCCCCAATCTTCAGCCCCACACTGGAACCCAGCTCGAGCTATAGGTAAACCCAAGTCCCCTGCGAAAATTTGTCTCATTTAACGCGCACTTACGGTTCTCAATCTGTCCTAGAACATAATGTTTTTCTCTTTTAATGAAAAACGTTGTTAATCTGTTCTGGGATTTTCTGAAGGACTTCTCAAACAGTCCTCGAACTGTTATATCCATTACAGAACAACATTACAACTGTAAAAAATAAAAAATGAAATAAAATAAAATAAATACACCATATGTTCTAGCATAGACTGAGAACCGTAAGTGAACGTTAAATGAGACACATTTTCGCAGGGGGTGGGCCTGGAGCGATTCGCACTAATGACATTTAACGGAAAGCGCCATTTATGCCTTTAAACAGACTGAGGACTTCTCTGGGCGTCCGCGCCACATTATAATATAAATAATATAAATTGTTAGAGCAGGCAGTCCTTCGGTTAAACCTTCGATTACAAAATAGATCAGATTCATACATGTACACGATACATACCGTGTGTTGGGGTGATTGGATCATTAAAAACCACTTCATCGAAATGACACGATTCAGGGCTAAACCCACAAGGACACGTGCTTTGGCAACGCCCATTGCTTCAGGAATAAAATGCATCAATTCCATGTAATTTTGTAGGTTTCGCACTAACGTCATTATCAACCGCGGTGTCTAGACGTCATCAAAATGAGGATTCCGGTGGACAATTGATTGTATAGGAAGCAGTGACATCGGTCGAGTATCGGGGCAAGGACTTTTAAGTGGAACGTGAAGAGTGATATTTCGCGAAACTAAAATGAGCTTATATGTACATGTACCAAATAGTGGACGTAATTTACAACAGTATTATGGAAAAGAATAAATCGTCGTGGCAATTGTCGTACAGTCCAAGCGCTGTTGATCAGCTACAGCATCTGACAAAATGCATCAATTCCACCTGTGCAGTAAGAGTGGGAATAAATTGTATTGTGCGTTCGTAGACAATAAATCCGCTTGAATGACTCAATTAATAAGATGGTCTTTCGCAGAAATCAATCAAACTCAGTTTATAAAGAAAATTCTTCGAATCATTTGGGGTCTTTGTAGCAATGTCAAACCTTGTATTATTATTTTTATTGTTATCATTCTTATCATTATTCTAAAGTATAATGGTCGCCTAGGGGTACGGGTATTTTACAGGGAGAGATCATGCCGCCTCTTCCTCATTCTCTACGGAAATGACTACAGACTTTTGGATTATCAGAAATTGTAATGGCGTAGAAGTGCGTTTGTCCTTATGAACTCTGACGACACTCTTGTCATCAGAATCTCCTCAAGGTGAGCAAAAACTGCTTGATGCCTTACAAAAACTGCAAACAGGATTGGAAACTTACACCAAACACAGTGAACACGAACAGTTTGGTATTTAGGGGGCATTCCCAGACCCTAGCGTACTAACTGTGGATCGATCTATCTCCGATGGGATTCTCGCTAAATTGCTTTCAGCTTAAGCGGCTTAGATGTCTTTCACGCCTACTGCAGCTGCTTGGGGGTAATTAATGATCGTTACGCAGCTTCAGTGGGCGTGTTAGACATCTAAGCCGCTTAAGGTAAAAGCGCTTTAGCGAGAAGCCCCTCGGAGATGGATCGATACTGTTAGATCGATCTAGGTATGGGAACCCAGACATAGAGAAGGGTGGGTGACTTGAGGTACGATGAAACATGGAGGCATATTGGTATTCATTTACAGAAGGCGAATCCGTTTAGTTATATCGGATTTTTGTTTACGTTTAACGGCAAGTTCTATCAAACAAAAGAACATATCGTAGAAAAAGGCAACAAAAATCAGTCTGCTGTAGATAATATATTGAATAACCGAAGCTTCACTGCGTCTACTAAATGAGCAGCCTTTATTACTTATGTTTGTACTCATGCTTCAGAAATTTACGTCTATAATGACACTGGGGTCCGTAATTTTCCACAGTTTTTAAGCAGAAAGAAGAGAATATTAAAGATTTATTTATGGTTTAAAAGTCCGTCCTTGGATTCCTTGTTTTATGCAATTTTTAATTAAAAAGTTTAGTTTGAAATGGCTGGCAACTTAGTCGGACCGCCACGTCTTTCTGTACATTTCAGAAGAAGAACATCAAGCACCTGAACTTGAGGGGTTTTAACGGGTTTCTTTTGGTCTTTAATGGGAAGGAAAAAAAGCTTTGTAGGACAGGTAGACAGGACAAATGCGACTTTGGAACATTAATAAACGCGTCGAGTATACCTTTTACTTCACACGTTGAAGGACAGAAAAAGGAAAGTGCTCCAGAAAAGTAAAAGTGCACTGAAAGGTCTACAGGTCAGTTGATAATGTTTTTGGCGCTTTATTGAACAAGACAGTGAACTGCACCGAAAGCTACTCCGGTTTCTGTTTCGTTTTTGTAATAAAGTTCCGAATCCTAAAGAATGCCAACTTGTCCCAAAGTAATTACTTTAACATCAAAAGATAACTCATCTTTCTTTTGTGTGTTAATGTACACACACATTTTAACGATTGCCTGTTTCATTGTTTCCCACAAGGTATATGCATCTTTTTAACTTCGTCGTACTAAAAAATTAAGAATTAAATGGCCCACTGATCTTTATAACGCCCTACTGACGGGGGCTCAAAAAGGATCATTGCCTTAGTGGCGATTTGAGCCTTCAATAAGACTGAAAGAAACTAGAGGNCGATCCGGACGAGACCGAAACCATGTGTACCGCCAGCGCTAACGCTGGTGGTACAATAATAAGAAATAATAGCAAACGGAGAAGCACCTATCAACTCAACACTTCATCACAGCTTTTCAAAGTTATACTTTCTTAAAAACAGCACACTATGGCCTCATTCAGAATAGTGGAGTAACTAGTCCCAGGGTCAAATATGGCCGACCCACTTGAGAACTTCCAAACGGGATATCTATTCAGTGTCTATTAGCGGATTAGACGGCAAGCTTTGTAGTGGGTCGGCCATATTTGACCCTCGGACTAGTTAGTCCCCTATTCTGAATGGCGCCTTATAAAGAAGCCTGCATATCGTCCTCTTGACTCCCAATCTAGCATTATACGCCCAAAGTAATACAATCAACCTTTACCACATGACAAGGATGTTTTTCTCAATCTCGTCCAATTTGAGTTCATGCCACTATCACTTCACATGGAAGTAGCTGTCCGTGATAATACTTCTGTGCGGCCTCATGGTCCGCTAGTCTGGTGCATAATATACTGTAATTTTGTATACTCGATTTGTTTGGAGGACCCTGATATCAGAATCCCCCTCAGAACTTTAAGACTAAAAAACTTATTCTTCATAAGTCATAGCTGGTGCAATACAGAAAACTGTACCGTCCGATGTAAAAAGGTTTTAAGACTCCAAGAGCGCATTCAGAACAGCGGAATAACAGATCTGCGGATCAAATATGGCGACCAACTTAAAAAAGCTTGCCGCTTATTACCCGAATAGACACTGATTATGTGCCCCGCGGGGATTACGCAACAAACATTCAAGTGGGTCGGCCATATTTGATCCGCGGATCTGTTTGCCCGCTGTTCTTTTTGCCCTCATAGAGAAAAAGCCAGTAATTTCTTTCCCTCTACCAGGGTCACTGATTGATTGTTACTTAATATTCACAGACGTTTCTGGATAATTTTTTTTTTTTTTTTTTTTTTTTTTTGTAATGTGAAAATGCCCACATAATAAGAACTGCGGCCCTAGTAGAGGATGGTGATTATACAAGTACATTGGAAACGAGAGGAGGCGTGTTAATCTGTTAATCTACACCCAAAGACAAGCCCTTTTTCAGTAAGGAGGAGGACCTCACCCGTTGGCACTTCGATAATAACTATGACACCTATCGAACATATTACAACGATTTTACAACCCTTCACGCCCCCGCCGTCACTCCCCCGCAACGCTTCTCCTTACTAGTAAAATTACAACACATAAAACATAATTCTTAATTCTAAAACTTCACTGTAAAACTTCACTAGTACCAAGACCCAAGACCCGGGGGGAGATAGGAACAGGACTCGGGGGGGGGGTCAACGCGTGGGGGTGACGATGCGGAGGAACGACGTGGGTAATATAATTTTTTGGCTAGGGGCGGTAATGACGTCGGGGCAGTGACGATGTGGGGGAGTTATGATACGAGGATCAAAAATATTTGACCACCGTTAAGACCTGGTGAAACATCTTCATTGTGAGTAGTAATCTCCAATGGGATTTATGTAACTAATGAGGCGACATTGAAGAATCCATGTGGCTGCTCCCTCGCCTCTTTGCTTTATAGACACTGTATCAATAAAAACTTATTCCACACAGTTCAAAGTCCATGTTCATAATACGCCTGCTCCCGCCTCAGTCACTTCGTCTGAGGATGGTAGGCTTCTAGGAAGGGGAGCTTCTCTCGTAATTCACTTAAAATGTCACCATTAATCAATCGCAGTTCAAGTTCTGCTGCGTCAGTGGTTTTCCGGTATGTCAATGAAAAGACCAACTACAACTTCACTCCACTATGCTTTTCAGTACGTATTTCACCGTGTATGCAAAAGCTGCGAACCCGATTATGACGGCAATGTTCGCCAGAGCGCCATTTAAGAAGCCTTGCTCCTGACCATTAGCGTTCATCGCGTGCCCAGTCCCCGGGGTGCGTCGTAGGCCGGGATGGGGTGAAGTTTGTGACGTTGGTCCTGTTGTGTTTTGTGTACTTCGCGCCAGCTCTTCCTGTTGTTGTTGAAGTTTTTCTTCAATTTCCTATGGAAACAAAAGTGAAGAATTTCGTTTTGCAATCACGCTATGAGTGAATACTTATTAGTTTTTCTTGAAGCACGACACCCACTGTCTGTCTCTCTTTTTTCAGTTTCCAACTTTCGTGTGGTCCGATATACCGGTGAATTCAGGACCATTCGGTGCCGAGTCTGGTAGTCGTGTAGGCCTGAGTACAGACATGTGACTTTTGTGTCTACAGATTAATGGAAAGTATACAACACGTATAAGGTCAGGCAAATTAGAACCCACTGGGGAAATTGCTCATTTGCAAAGTTAGAAGAAAACCAATAAATCCACGACTTACAGACCAGTTTGGGTGCGCCGCAAATAAAACATTTTTAATTTTGTAGTCTGTAAGTTTTTGCTCTTTTATTAACTTCTACATAATGTAGCAAGGTGCCCTTTCAATTTATTATGAAATTTGAAAAAAAATCCAAGGCTTCTAACTTGGCACCAGAACAGCTGACGATGACAAAGAAATGACATTTTTTTTTTAATCAAGGAAAACTCATATCCCTTTCTGAAGATGTCAGAATCATTCATCTGACAGGGTAAACATTTCTCTCAATCTAAACTTGCATGAGTAAAGAATCTCAAGTGTTGTTTTTTCACTCAGTTACAACTAATTAAAGCCAGGAGGAGGCGTCTCATTTAATTAAGCTGATTGCAGTCGGGGAGAGTCCTGTTATAAAACAAGAAAGAGCACTAGTTCATTTCATTGAACTGCTACCAATTTCTCCTGTGTCAAATTGCATGAAAAATTTAACCTCAACGCTTAAACCAGTTTTTGAATTCTATTTGGTCACTACAAAATTCAAGGGCATCTATCACTTTTCCTGATGTACTTTTTTTGTCACTTTAAAGTTAAATTTTTACTACTTGTAACATTTCAACGTAAATTGCAATCATGGCATACTGAGGCCTAATAAAAGCCACTTTAATTCTGACACAGAATACTGACAAAAACAATCCAAGGTTTCAAACACCCAAAACACCTGTATGACGTTTTACGGCCAAGTCACAACGAAGTGTGCAGTATCAAACAGCAGCTGTATCGGTGCAGGTGACGCAGAGAGCTAAATTAAATATAGCAAAACATGCTTGGCTGCCTAATTTTTGTCTCTTATTTACGCATGTAACACCTTATGTCACGTGTTTCACCCACACCAAGGACTTGTTTAGAATTAACTGATAACTTCCCTTTGTAAGGACCTCATACTGTAATCTTAGGGCATATTCCCAGACATTTAGATCGATCTATCCCCGTGGGGAGTCACACTAGATTACTGTCAGATAATCCGGCTTAAATGTCCGTCCCGCCTACTACAAGCTGTAAAGGGGTAATGAACTTTCGTGCCCGCTCGGCTGACAGCTATTTAGCGTGAACCCCCAAGGAGTTAGGTCGATCTAGTTTGGATGGATCTAATCTCTGGGAATATATACAAAATATATCTAATAATATCTTATACAAAATATATGGAGTGTTAAATTAAAACGGTTGATACTTTAAATTTTCAAGCCTAGAATCTGTTTTGTATAATGATATGTCATACAACTTTATACAAAATGAAGTATCATATATTAAAATGTTGAATAAACTGCCCACACCAAGCACTTCTTCAGATATGATATTTAACAACAACAAAATAATAATAAATTCAGTGACAGATTGAGGCAGTCTTCTGGGTCTTCTGGAAGACTGTCATATTTTTAATTTTACATACGGATGTCTCATGTTCAAGAAGCATATTACAATATTGTTTCGTCAGTTTTTTCTTGTTCTTTTAAAATACTGTTCAAATAGTTTTATTTGTAGTCAGCCCAAAGGCTCAATAGAGCTTATGAGTGTTTTGTTTTTAACTATACCAATGAAATATTATATGATTGAAAAAAGTATTTCTTGTGAAACTACATGACGAAGTAAATGTTTCTGAAAAAGCTTACTACCAACAAAATAACAAAATCGGGTCCAATATACAGCATATTCACATTTTGGGACAGGCACAGACAGACAGACTAAACATATGAATAAATAAATGAAAATACACATCTTCACCTAGGAGTTGAAATGTCATGGGTACATTTTACTAAATATTGACCCAAGGTGTTAATTGTCTGATGATCTGTCCCTGTAACTTCCCCTGCGAAAATTTGTCTTATTTAACGCTCACTTACAGTTCTCAATCCCTTCTAGAACATTTGACGTATATATATATTTTTTTTTAGCATTTTCATGTTGTTCTGTAATGAATGTAACAGTTTGAGAACTGGTTTTGGGAAGTACTTCAGAATGTCCTAGAACAGATTCAGAACATTTTTCATTAAAAGAGAAAAAAAAAAACAGTATGTTCTAGTGCAGATTGTGATTCTGTCCGCTGACCTACCTTGGTGATCTCGGGAAATGTTTCTGTAAATACTTTGTCTTTTAAATTAAAGGCCAAACTCTGAGCCGCTAAACTTCTTTTCTGGAATGAGAAGATCATGATTGTTGTTTTTAGTATAGAAAAAAAAAAAACATTAATCTGTAGATACAAAAACAACAAAGGCAAAAACAATAGATATAGTTCAAGATGTCTTTTGTTGCCACAAGTCTAAATTTTTTACTTTCATTAAGAGCGCATTCTCAACGAATTAAGCCAGGCTTTACAAAGCCGGTGACCTAAAAATGGCGGACGTACATGAAAGAAAAACCGCCTAATCTTTTAATAGTCTCTCCGCCTCCCCACACGTCGTCCCTGCGGGGTACAGTAATTAAATCTCGGCTCCGTTCGCCATGCGGAAGCTACCTGTGAAATATTAAGTGCGCATGCTCATCAGTTATACTCGTGGTGAAGAAAGCATGGCGGCTGAAGGCGATCGAAGGAAAAAAGCTCTTCTGTTCTATTATCTTTGAAAACAGAGACGAAAAAGGAATAATTTGGCCCGTAGAGCAGCAATGAATCGACTATCTACGGAGATAATATCACCAGAGATATTCACGGAAATATTAAAGTGATAATAACTCTTCGTTTCGGCCAAAAAATGAATTTTCCTGGAGTGACCAACAATTTTCTCATACTTACCAATGGTTAATGAATCCATTTTTACATTCAAAGTTAGTCCCTGTTTTTTTTTCTAAAAAGTTTGGTTTTTTGTTAAAATCTCTTAAGAGATTTTAACAGAGTATAGCCATCAATGGAGGTTACGTCGTTTAAAGACAAGCTCAGATATCAGACTAATAGCTATAACTGCCGGTTTTGTGGTAAAACAGAATATATTATATTTCTATGAGTTATTCACAATGCTCTTATTGTGAAATATAGATCTCATATGAAGAGTTATTATCCCTTTAATGTTCGGAGCCGAGATTTAATTACTGTACCCCGCAGGGACGACGAGTGGGGAGGCGTGTGAGAGGCGGAGAGACTATTAAAAGATTAGGCGGTTTTTCTTTCATGTACGTCCGCCATTTTTAGGTCACCGGCTTTGTAAAGCCTGGCTTAATTCGTTGAGAATGCGCTCTAAGTGTATTAAATCTCTATAACATGCAGCATCATTTGAGTTACTTGAAGGAAATCTGTAATCACAAAGATAAATTACAATGAATTGTTTGAAATTATGAAAAAAATCACACAATCCTTAGAATTAAATTTATTAGGCAAGTAAATAAGTAGATAAATAAACTTAATGTACAACAGGCACTGGTGATTTGTTTAAGATTTTTTCAGGGAAAAAAATATACTGTAGCTAATTATTTTGTGTCTGATTTGTATCTTTCATGCCACAATTCTAACAATGCATCACTACTGTAATAACAGCAGCTTTTAAAACTTTTTATAAATCTTCATTGTCATTTCAATATATTAATTCATTTTAATATGTAATTGTATCTGCAAATTAAAATCTACAAATCTGAATTAAAACAAGGCAGCAAAGTTGTCTAATATACAGATACAAAGCAGAAAATAAATGATGCTGGTGCAAAATAAAGTATTTTGTCTATTTTTATGCAACATTTCATCATGTTAAAAAAATCACTCTCTAGCTTTTATGTGTCTGTACATATAAAGGTAAATCTTAGAAGTGAAATTGGTCCAAATTATGGCAAATGAAAAAAAAAAACAAACTGGGTTTGGCTTGGTAGATCAATTAGTTCTACCACATTTCTCTGTAATCACCCAGGGCTAAGGAAGATGCATATTAACACTATGGACCAAAATTCAGTGCATTCGTTTTTAACAAAAACTTGCTCTAGTTCTTCAGCACTTGACTTTGAGTACAAAGACAAAAACATAGAAAATAAAAGAAGGAAATAAAAGACAAAAAAAGGGAAAGAAAAGTAAATTTTATATTTAATAAAAATTAATATAAAATATCTTAAAAGACAAAATTGACTTCAGTCTTCAGAATATCAAGAATATACAAAAAATGGGGGACATCTGTCCTTTAGGGACATCGAATGCTATCTGTATTAGAAAAAAATGCTGTGCTTATCAAAATATCTTATTTATTAATGATAATTAATGATATCCATGTAAACGGAGTAAGTAGTTACAAGACTTTGCCTCCTGTGCAGTGTTGTTAATTAAGTAAAATGATTTCCGTTGGAAACCTCTCACTTCTTTGATTAGATAATTCTATGCCGTTTGCTCAACACTTGTGCAAATGAACAGTCGTCAAAACACTTGTAAATATTGAGAAATGAGTTAAGTCTTAAAAAACATTACGTAAGGACAACTCAGGCAAAAAGGAATGGACAGCCATGTGTGCACAGTTGTGTGTGTGTGTGTGTGTGTGTGTATGCATATGTACGAGTATGTGAGGAGGGTTTCTTTTCAGGCAATCCATCAGAAATGACAGTCTTAATGTGGAATCCACAAACTTCTTTTCCTACCAATGTTGTGCTCTCTTATGTCAAAGAGGAATGTGAGGAACAAATCACAATCAAACAGGACAGTCCTGTGAAAACTAAACCAATATCTTTACGATGTTATTGCTAATAAGTTTGAATATCAATTTTGGTCTCAGTCATCACTGCAATTAGGTTATTGTTGCATTTTTAATTGGAATTATGAATATTGAAATGTTTTAGGATCACTTCTATAGATATGAAACACAAACCACAAGGTGTATTGTTTTTTTTTTTTCATATCAATAATAGCATATCAATATCATAACACTAATAAAAATAAACAGATTAAAATAGCATTATTCACTAAATATATTTTTAAAAGGTTTTCAAGGTTACTGATTCTTAAGATATTGTTGATGATGTTTACCTAATTAAAAAGATTTTCAATTATCTTTTTTGTGTTTTTTTTTTCCTTACCAAGTATCTGAAGTAGAAATATCACAATGGAATCAAAATCTTATTTCAAGATATCTTACAGTGACTGTGCACCCATAAAAGTGTATGTATTGTATTAAGTTATAAAACTGTACTGATGTAGTGTATCGTTTTGTATTTGTACTGAAATGTGCTTTCTGATTCTGTGATGTATTGCATGTTCTTGTATGTTTGTCTTCTTTGTAACGTGCTGTATTGTGTTTATATATGTTTAATAAAAAAAAAAACTTACTGTGTAATCAGAAGTTTCTATACTTCCTAATGTTGGACTTTTTTCGAGCTGAAAAATACAAAAAAGAAATCATCATTTAATTTCTCGAATTTCCCAACAAAAACAAGTGTGTGTGTGTGTGTGAGTGTGTGTGTGGCATGTAGCCACATGACCAACTCAAAATATACAATTAACCTTCATTCAATCAAAGTCACTCAATAATAAATGGAATATTTCTCCATTTCAAAGCATTAAAACTGATGCTGACCACTAAAAAACTGTGGGAGATTTTCTTCTTAGAAGTAACAGCTATTTTTCTTGAATGAGAAAGGGGGGAGGGGGTTAATTATCAAAACTGCGCAAGAGGGTGAAAATAACTGCATTTTAAAATCTGACAAAAAAAAAAGATGGTATTAAGACGAGCAGAGCGCACATGAACGAGTTCCAACACAAGCGTAAACAAGAGATTAAAGACAACGACCAGAGATGACACAGTTTAATCAAAACAATAAATCTTTACAAGTGCAAAGACAAATATTAGGCACGGTTTAGTGAGTGTGTAAGGCTTCCTATGGTAATAACTTGAAATTTTCAAATACCTCAATTATTTTCTGAAATTTTACTTTTAAATTCATCATTTTTAATAACTCACAAACATGTACTATCCGACTTCATCTAACTTTACATTTTCTTTTGAATCAACAGTTCTTAATTTCACTGGCAAAACATTATTTATTCATCATGTCTAAATATATAGGATGGAGGATTATAGCAGAAAGTGCCATTTTCTGAGCAACTCTGATAAAAAAATCGTTATCAAAATCCAAGAAGTGGGGAGTCTGACATTTATGATCAAATACCAAACACCATTTTTCTCATGAAGTAGTGAAAGAGGAAGACCTATGACTGCTGCTTATCAAATTAATGAAGAAGACTGAATTCAATCAGGACAATGTAGACAACAACGGATACTGTAGTGTGACAAGTCTGAAATTTATGAACATTTATGAAAATTAATATAACAACAATATTGAAAAGATATAAGAGAGAGAGAGAGAGAGAGAGAGAGAGAGAGAGACAGAGAGAGAGAGAGAGAGAAGAAATAAGAAACACTGCAAAATTTGGAGTCAATGTAGATAAAACTGTAAAAAGAAACATACTTCAGGAGAGAGAGAAACAGGATGAACAAAGACACCATAGAGTGTCAGCAGTGAAGAGTAAAGAATCACAAAGTTTGTCCCCATCTTACCATAAAACTCAACAATCCTGTCAGGATGGTGGAGACTGACCAGGCAGGGTTCCAGGTGTCTGGGTGGAAATCACTGATTGACAAACATAGCCTGAAATACAGTAAAAAGATACTATACTATACTAGACAGTGGTGGATTTTGTGGGGTGGAGGGTGGGGGTGGGGGTTGGGGGGGGGGGGGGGGCAAGGGACGGCTTCACATCCCCAGACCCCCCTTCAAATAATCCTGGATCTGCCCCTGCTATAATGACTGCACTACACTACACCATACAACACCACACCACACTCCAGGTCACTGAAACACAAAGTCAATATTGATTAACTTTTTTAACACCATGAATTTTGAAAATAGAACACATCAAAAACTTTACAGAGTTTATTCAAATGATTACTGTACAGGATTGCATGAGAATTAAAAAAAAAAGAGAATGGACCCACCATAGTCCAATATCACATGTGAGAACAACAACATCAAATTACTAGTAGTTGACCAGTTTAAGTATCTCCAGTTCGCAAATATTTGCTAACCTTTCCATTTTATCAATCAGGTATGTGAGTGGATCCCACATAAAAAAATGGAATGAGAAATTTGCACACAACATGAGCGAACTAAACACACACAATGTGCAACAAAAATAGTCCCAAAGACTCTTCCTTACAAAATTAGTTTTTATGGGGCTTTAAAATCAATACCTTATTAAATTATTCCCAAAGTGTAACAATGAAAAATAAATACGCATTTCTTTTGAGACATTCAGAAATAGAACGAGCCTTTTTTACGCACCTGGCTTGATGAAAACACTTGAGACCACAGTATCTCTTCATTAACAATATTTTATTAATATTTGCAAATTCCTTTAAATATTGTGGCCAACACAGGAAAGGAATTGAGATGTCAAGTTGTTATAATAACAAAGTATTCGATAATTATTTGTGTACTTACATACAAACTAATGACTATTTAATTATGATATTAATATAAAACTTCAGCTTTGCAAGGTATTCTTATAGAGCTGATTCCTAAATAAGAGCCATTTTTATTTCTCAATAAGTAATAAGGTAGGACCATTTTTTAAGTCACACTTTCTATAGAAAAAAAAAAAAATAATAATAATAATAAGTCTAAATGAAATAATAAACAAATCAATTGGCTCTACATTTTGCAACATAGTGTTAAAGCCCCCTTTACACTGGACGGCGTCCCTTCTGCGTCCAGCAGTTCGGCCCTATTTGAGAGTTAAAGAATTATAATACTTTACGTGCCGACAACTGGCCGATCATTGAGTATTCATTCTGATACCAAATCAATGCTCATGCCTCCTTATTAAGACCACAGCGATGCCAAATTTCATGGTCGCAGAAAGGACGCAGAAAGGACGCCGTCCAGTGTAAAGGGGGTATAAAGTGGACACAATTGTCTTCTCTATCACAATCTTTTGCAAAGTTCGGTTCAACTGTTCAATTGAACTTAGAGCATCGAGATATCATTTATTGTAAGGTAATAATAACAATAAGAAGAAGAAGAACAACAACAGATGTAAGTTAATTTGTCAGAATTATCAAACAGTTTGAAAAAGCTATATTAACTTTCATATATAATATGTAATCCTGTACAGACCAATTTGCATCATCATAACAATACTTTTCATTACATGGAAAAACTTGAAGAAAAAAAATTACTCAAAGAAGTACCAAATACCTTACCTAGTATTGCACTTAAATCTTCCATTGGGTGTGATCATATATATACTTGGGGGTTTAAAGGGGTACTCTCTAGGGAAAATCAACTTTCCGTGATAATAACCCCCCTCGTAGGGTGACTCGGCTGGCCCTAGAACAATGTAGTGCCTGGAGAAAAATACAGACACAGAATCACATATTTAATCAATTCATCTAAATACTCACAGACAAAATTACATGTCCCTGACTATTAGCATGCACATATAAGCATACAGAATGGGGAAACTGATGGCTCTATAACTATCAATGTGTAGAGACTGGAAAAAGAGAGAAAAACATATTAAATGACAACAATAAGTACTACATCTGGTACCAGGATTTATTTATTTATTTATTTATTTATTTCTATTATGATTTATTTATTTATTTATTTATTTATTTTTTTTTTTTGAGGGGAGGTTTATTTATGATTTTATCAGTAAAGAGGTGAAATAATGTCTTTGTTTAATAGAACAACATAATCTGGGACTCAACTCTCCTTGACAAAACAATGTAAACCAACCACTGGCTCAAGACTGTCCCTTGACCCAGGTCCTCCATCGTATTAGTTCTTGAGATAACTTTTTACTTAGTTACAAAGTACAAGCTTATCACCATCTCACTCTAATTTAAAAAGCAGCGAAAATGACAATTAAACGTTCGGCCACCTCGAGCACTTTCTTGCAAGCTTCAGGGGAGGTTAATGAAGCAACAAAATGGAGAGTTTGTGTTCTAAAGGTGTTATTTTTTTATTGCAATCAATATTAGGATAAGTGTTTCACATAAGGGAAATGGGGGAAAAGAGAACTGAGGTTGCTCTTGTCATTTGCTTTGAGACACCCTGAGCTTCAGAGATAACTTGACACTAACCTCTTCACTATAGCCTATCTTCATCGTGTCAAGTTACCTCTGACCACATTCGATTGCCTCCGCCGCCCGCCAATCAAATTTAAAGCCCGCACTCAATGACTCATTGAACGATCTAGCCAATGAACGCGAACGAGTCAAAGCGCGCTTTGTTCAAATCCGGACCAATCAAAGATAAGGCTGAATATCAGGGACTTGCCGTAACCTGTGGGCAGCACGCAAAATACATCATCCCTCAGTAGATAATTATGCAGGGCATCAAACTGCTCTGGTTTCAATTCCAATATACTCCATGCTTTCTTTGTGTACGGTTATGCACTCGGAACTACTCGGATGTCTCCGCACTCGACAAAAACTATGTTGTTAGTATGGAGCTTGCGGAATCAGCCGAGGATTGCCGATTGACGATCAACCAATCAGCGTTTTCACCAAACTTTGGTGAAAAATTTTGAAACATGGATTCGATTGGCTTATATAAACTAGGTCAAACTATTTTCGTCAGAGGTAACTTGACACGATGAAGATAGGCTATAGTGAAGAGGTTAGTGTCAAGTTATCTCTGAAGCTCAGGGTGCTTTGAGACAGACACGCTGACAAAGAGATGAATTGAGAGAGAGAGAGAGAGAGAGAAAGAGAGTTCCCTTCAATTTTACTCCAGCATCAATTGGTATTTGTTTCAATAAATAACTAAATTAATGAACACCTCTTTCACCTTGTGAAGACCACGGGTCTAGATATTCCCACAAATTCCTGCTTATGCAAACCTTAATCAGGATGGGGAAGACTTAAAACTAAATGAAGCCACAAATGGACAAATGGCAGTTCTATGGAACAGATCAGTAGGAATAATATTAAGGTGTGTCAGTTTGCTAAATATAATTGAACCTTTTTTACATCAGATTTACATGTTGCAAAATCAACCTGTTGAAGAGAAAATATCATCCACATCTCAATCATAATTACCTTTGTCAATAAAGGAGGTTAGATTTTTTTTTTTAATCTGTGCTGGGTTGCCTACTTGTTGGTGGTCAAGATATCTAAAATATAGTTCTTCAATAACTTCAATGACATTATTAGGATAAACAGTTACTCAGGAGGGAAAGAATAGATTATTATTTCAAAGATAAATCCAGGTCTCTTCACATTAAAAAAAAATGCTTCATTTCATTGTTGTTTACATTTTGTCTTAATGATCTCTATTTTCATGTTTCAATTCATCTATTTCATTCAGTTTTTTATTTTTAAGTGGAAGGCAAGGTGTAATTTTCAAAAGCCTACACAAGCCAACTAAAATTATTTGGAAGAATACTAACAATCTTATTCTTAACCTCACAAAGGTTGTTTGTTTTTTTTATCACCCCATCCTATGTCCTTGCCAGGTGTGATCTCACCCACCCCTTCAATCCCCTTTATTTTTAGAAAACCAAGTGAAATCTCCCACGTACTAGTAAACTTATTTTAAGTCCTGTATTCATTTTAAAGACTTTGTCCATGGATATAATCTCTGTCTAGTTTCGGCGTGAGTGAAACGTGTTGGCATCCAAGAAGGTGTGGGTACCAGCAAATACACTTCACGGTTTACGGCAGGTCATATTATATAAATCCTTTGTTTTGGGCTTACTACTAAAGGTAATTAGTGCAAAGGTACAATGTATTCTTAGTGAACAGAAACAAGCTTGCAACTAATAATGCGTGGGTACAAATGACATCTTATGAAAACAGATGAAAACAGGTAGTATACACTGTATGAGGATTCAATATAATTTACTGAAAACGGGATTAAAATGTGTGGGCAACATTACCCCCAAGTGACAGTGACGGCTTTCCGCACAACCCAGACAAAATTCTCCGAAAGCTGACATAACATCGTGGTTACTGGTCGCTATTGTTCATGAAAATTGTTCACTTTGAAATAAGACTTACTGAAAATAACACTCATCGAGACTGTTTGCTGGCTTTATTAATAAGGGACTTTATTGTTTAGAACACACCTGAATTTGGACGGGGGCCGAGGCATATACATAAGAAGAACAGGGGCTATGCTCAAACAGAAATAAAAGAAATGCTGAATGCTAAGTATGATTCACTAATGATACAGACATTTTCAAAGACAGTGTGAAATGTGTTATCATTCTTTTTATGTCTTCATAATTGATTGGATGAAAGATTGGTTTATTATCTAGAGCAAAATATTCACTTAACTGACACCCGAGTTTTATGAGGGGCTTCAACTTGAAGGTTGCTTGCAACTAAAAAGGTCCTCCACATAGGATTTTTGTGTCAAACCTAATTTCCCACTTGAAAAATAAGAGTTCTCTTACTCAAAAATCACCACACAACCCATCCCTACATTTTATCCATTGTTTTGTAGTAAGTTAAATTAAATACGTTCTAAATGAATTGATTAATTCAGACGGCCATGTCTTCCTGACATTTCAGAGGGGAAAACCAACATCAGATTCTTTTATTTTGAGGGATTTGTGGTTTTTAGATGTGAATTATAAAAAATTTATATTGAAAGCAGGTAGTTTTGCAGGATATGCAAAAATCAAAATTAAATTTTGGGACATTACCAACTGCCCCTGTCACACGCATTAAAAAAAAAAAATGCCCCAAATAAGATTAAAAGAAAAAGGGAAGAGTACTGCCATCTAGGATATATGTATGTATGATCCAGTTAAAAAGTGACTGCCTATCACAAATTTTTTTTTTGCATTTTTTAGTATAAAAACAAGCCCATTACATAACAAGACTAGTAGATGATGATGAGTTCCACTTTCCCAGAGAATCTTGTTCCTGAGTGCTCTCTTTTCCTGTTTACAGTTTGACAAGAATGTTAGTCACAAAACTGACATGAAATTAATTCTCCACCAAAGTTTTGTTCAGCTTCACTTCCACTATGAAGTCCTAGTAGTTTGTGGATTAATAACTGAAAAGTATTACTATTTATTCTCTGAAACATTAGTAACGTCTATCTTGTTGTACATCGGGTGCTAATGTACTTGGACTACTTAACCTGGATCTGCTTTACCTGGGAGCAAAGAAGACTAAGATTTGGTTTAGAACATAAGGAGAATTTTGAGCTTCAAGCGACATAGTGTAGAGTTTCAGACGCATATTAAGCACATAAACCATTTATTGTTGAACTCATCTAATGACTAATTAAATAATACTTTTTGAACATATTTCACCAAGTAAATAGCAAGAATAAATGATGCCACAAATAATCAATTTTAGCTTGGGTTAAGGACTTTTTACTTTACCCAGATTCTTATGGAGTTATGGTAATTGTCAGAAGAGAAGAATTAAAGGATGGTTAGTGAGAAAAAATACTATTTCTACCGTTTTTTCGTGCACTGTGACTGGAAATTTTGTTAGGTTCTTCTTTGCTGGGAAAATGTTAAACTGTGTATCTTTAAATCATTTGATGCAAAACCTACCATTCTAATATATTGGAGGCTAAAGGAGCAGCTACAATGTAGGGGACAGGATCTTTCACTATACGCATGAAGTCTTGTTTTAGCCGAGCAGTGGCAGTGGTGTTGGTTCGCCTCTTGCTGGCCATCTGGAATCAATTATTATAACATAAAACAATAAATACACTAGCCTGTGGCAACTCATGAGGACAAGATAATTTTTCGCTTGATTTATTTATCATTGAATGATATTAAATGATATATCTTTTATTTTTTATTTTGATGTAGTAAGATTTAAAGTCCATGATTTGATGAATGGACCTTGTATGTGAAGGTGTTTCATCAATAAAGATTCACTGTATAATCACTGCTAAGAAATAATTGACAATAGTGATAAACATTTAAACTCTCTGGAGTACCCCATTAATTAAGCCAATGTTAGGAGGACAAATTACACTGTGCATGCTTCAAAAGATTCTTATATCACTATATTTATCACTAGATTGTATCAAGAATGCATTACTGGCTGCTATAAAAATGGTGTATAAAAAGGCATGGCAACTTTAAAAATGCATCTGAACCAAATGAGATAACTTAAGATTCAAACAGCTTAGTTATGCCCGTACAATGTGGCTATCTGTACACCAAATTTAGTCCCTTCGTAGAAAAAAAAGCCACACATAGACCCCATTTCCAGAGATTAGATCGATCTACTTTTGATCGACCTATCTCCCTGGGGGTTCATGCTAAATAGCTGTCAGCCGAGCCGACACGAAAGTTAATTACCCCCTTACAGCTTGTAGTAGGCGGGACGGACATTTAAGCCAGATTATCTGACAGTAATCTAGTGAGACTCCCCGCGGGGATAGATCGATCTAAAAGCTCTGGGAATACAGCCTTAGACTTGTAACCATGCTGATAGTGGTCAACAATAAGGTACGGATACACGGGTAAGATAGTGTTATGCTTAGCAAACCCGTTAGTCTTTGGTAATGATATGTTGGTATACTGAAGGTGAGGCTCTTCAATGGGGTGTGCTTAGATTCAACCTGGGGAAAATACCAAACAAAATACGGAAATGGAAAGACTAACAGTAGTGCTGCAGTACTATTACTGACAGTACAATGTAGTACTAGATACGACAGCTTTATTTTCATAGTAACCAGGTTTTCAGCATGCACACAAACGCTAATAGCGAGATGAGTAATATATTACAGTCAACGCTGATATACCCTATTAAATATCTGAACCAACATGACATACGTGAACATTTAACATACCCTGCTTTCCAGAATATTTTCTTTTCCGTGAGTGCGTTGTATATCTCACACGGGCGAACAGTTTTCCTTATCATTTATTGGTTAGTTCCCAAGGGAGCATTCTGTTTTTCAAGCTGATGTTTTTCTGTTTTGAGAGTTTCGATCTGCTTTTTTGATCTGAACAAATATTTTTGGCCTGTAAATATTATAAAAATGCGGAATTATTTCGAGATAAGTGACAGATTTCTTTCAGTCGGTGTAAATATTGGCGGATATGACTGCAGAATCGGAAACGAGCTTGTCTTGGTTGACCTAGATTAACTCCAGCACTGTCGCGTGTCAAGCTGTACGTTTTCATTTACAACTTCAAATTCAATCTCAAAATATTCGTATCGTTTTATTCACTGTTCAAGTTTTGGATATATTCACGAGCAGATAGTGTAAACAACATATTGGCATAGACCTCAGATCAGTTAATACCTCGGTAGTATAGAGAATTTTAATGTACATACGATAAAAACGAGTTACAGCACCTGCACTGCGATACATGACAAGTACCTTCAGGTTTCACATTTTTTATGAACCTGTGCACATATATACTAGATTTATTTCATTCTACCTTCAAAATGTCCTTTTTACTCATAGTTAATATTTTTAAACTCTATTAATTTCTCATATTCTTGTATTTCAAGGAAAAAGAACTGCAAGATGTCAGAATTGTAGCAACTGATTCTAATTTGCTTACCAACAGCAATCTGTGTATTAAAAGACCACAGTTGGTGATGTAATGCCACTACGGGCATTGATGTTTTGACAGTGATGTTACGTCATGGCAATGTTTATCGATGGATGATACTGATACAGCTGTGATATTAGACAGAACGCCAGAAGTGATTAAACTGAAGAAGTTTCCAGGCCCCTAGCTAATTTAACAAAGTTGTTGATCCGAAACTGAGGCATGCATGCAACCAAGAGTCCCAAAAGATTCACTACACATCTCAACCGCCATGCTCCAACAATTTTGATCTGTGGCATTTTCCTCTTCTTTAGTGGCCTCTTATACATGTCATTTTGTGGCATGCCAGCAGAGCGCTCTGCACAATCACCTGCTCTGGGTGAAAAAAATCAGAATTCAAAGCATGTTGAGATGCATAACAAAATGTTAAGTGCCTTCATGGTTGTTGCTATACTAACAGGGAGGCAAAACAGAGAGCGAAGAGACATGATAAGGCAGACCTGGTTGTCAAATGTCACCAAGGATATTGTGCCTTACTTTGTCATCGGAACCAAGGACTTAACCCCAGAAGAAATGAGTCACTTGAAGCTAGAAAACAAGAAAACAAATGATCTCCTTCTTTTGCCAGATGTCCATGATGCATATGAAAAGCTTGCAGATAAAGTTTTACAGATGTACATTTGGTTGGATGCGAATGTTCATTTTCATTACATCTTTAAAGGGGATGATGATACATTTGCACGTGTTGATGTCATCGCAGAGGAGTTGAAACGCAAGAAGCAACAACGCCTTTACTGGGGATTCTTCAGTGGCAGGGCACATGTTTATCGCAGGGGGAAATGGGCCGAAAAAGAATGGGTGCTTTGTGATCGTTATTTACCATATGCATTAGGTGGTGGTTACATACTATCCTCTGACTTGATCCATTACATAGCTAACAGTGCAAACTACTTACAGAAATTTAAAAGCGAGGATGTGTCAGTCGGCGCTTGGCTTGCACCCGTTGAACTAAACCGCGTGCACGACACCAGATTTGATACAGAATATAAATCACGAGGCTGCTCAAATAAATACATTGTGACACATAAACAGACTACAGAGCTTATGAAGCAGAAGTTTGCCAGCATCCAGATGTCTGGTAGGCTGTGTAAGAAGGAAGTGAAACTGCGGAACTCTTACGAATACGACTGGGAGGCATTGCCTTCACAGTGTTGCACAAGGACTAACAATACTAATATTCCATGAAAAATATATTTATTTTTAGTAATTTCCCATTTGTCTTTTAATTTGCTTTAAGCAGGTGCTTTTGGAACAAGAGCACAACACTATATTTTCTAAGATGAAATATGTCCGACCCTCTTGAATGTTTGTTGTGCAATCCCTGCAGGGAATCTATTCAGTGTCTAATCAGGGAATTAATAAGTGGGTCACTGTACTTGATCCACGTATCTGTGAGCCTGCCATTCCGAATGAGCTCTTAGAATAAATATGCATTTTGACCAAAAACTAGTCACGTGAACACGGCAACCAGATTTCCGATAATTGAGGGAAATTTTAGAAAAGGATGTTAACTGGAATATTGGTCTCAAATTCCAGACCAAGAATTTGATCATTTTAAGTTCAAAATACTTAACAATGCAAGATATTAGCTATTTAATGAAAATGTAAGTAATACGTGATTTTCAAAGAAAATGAAACATTTAACAGTTTCAGCTGTACAAGGTCTTTTATTTCTGCATTTCTAAATCCTTTAACAATACATAAATACAATACCAATACACTTCACATCCACGGAAATTTCCATGTTAAGCCTGAAGTAAACTTTAACCAGACATTATTAATTAAGAGTGACAACATGATTATGGTAAATACTCACAAAATTTGATTGTATTCTATTCATATTTTCAAAAGCAATGTTTTGCGTGACATCTCACTGATTTTTTTAATTTGAAAAATTACCTACAAAATTTATATACAACCAAATATTTCCTGAAACAATACTTTTGAGATGTGACAATAATATTATTCAAAGTTCTGAACAAGTTATGGGCTCAATTTTGAAAAATTAAACATTGAACGATGACCAAATAGTCAGAAAAGATAAAATGTGGGAATGTGTGGTTTTTGAAACTTGTGAGTAATTACCATAAATGTCATCAAGCTAAGGCTACAAACAAACACATCAACAATATCATATTTACAAAATCAACTTTTGTGTACAGCGACATAATATTTTCTGATTGCACACGTTTGTGAACGGATCATTGCAGAGATATATTGGACTTGGAAACAACTTCACATTGCTTTTGACCAAGTTACAATATGTATCATCTTCCAAAAATCCAAACACGGGTCAACTCAAGTTCCTGTAGAATCTGAACATTGAGACAATAAATTAATTGAGAAAAAAAAAGACCATGGAAATTCACCACCTGCTTGCAGGATATTTTTTTCTACTACTAGTGCCAAAGGCTTGCACCTTTCTTTTGAATGACAAAGTAACTATTTTTCTATTATTAATATTTGGATAAATACTCCATCTGCCTTTTGATGAAATGTCTAGTAATAACACAGGATTGGCTAAATTGTACAGCAGTTAAAAATACACTTAGTAAAAGTAAACTCACTCGCCACAGATGTCTAGTAGTCAATATTACAGAACTGCTCTGTTATAATATAGCATAAACACTTTTTCTTTCTATTCATACAGGTCTGTTATAAACTAGGAAACAAAATTCCAAATTCTTCTTGAATAACCTAGAATCAAAGTTCAAATTGTACAAATAAATGAAATGAAATAAAAATAATAATACGAGCTTAAAGGTTTAAAATATGTCGCCAGATTTTTAATACTTAAGATTTTACCCAAGGTTTTTCCTGAATGTTTCCTTATTAGCTTATAAATAGGACTGTTCACATCAGATTGAATTTAAATCCCAATTTTACCCATCAAGCCCTTGCTTGCAGTGAGACAACCACAAGCAGTCTTATGTATTTTACTTCAATGAAATCAGGGCAGATCAAGTCCCTCTCCTCCTATAATAGGTGGTAAAACCCATTCTCAGTGGGTCTGCTTCTACTTTTTTTCTACAAACTCCCTCCCCTCCCCTTCCCATTTTATTATCCATCCAAGGCCAGTGGCAATAACTTTGGGTACTTAAGATTAACCTGATGTGAACTGATTTTAAAAAACTTATTTTTTGTCTGACCTGATAATTTCTGGTACATCTTGAGAAACTAGTGTTCCATATCCCTCACATACACATAACACCTAACTGTACCCTTTGTGTTTTATATCAGTATCTTAGATTATCGGACAGTACTTCTTTACATTTTACCCACAGACACTGCTCAAAGTCTCAGTAAGAGAAAATTCCACTACTCCAGATCTTTTGCACTGACATCACTAATCATCACCTCCAGGTGGGATCTGGAAGCGTGCAACTCAAAACTGTTGCCACAACATACGTCTACAAGTACAGGTAAAATGGAGTTATTGCTTAGCTTGACCTTTCCCCTATTCAGATATCACTGAGAGTGTAGGGAACTGTGTTTAGACTATGTCTATCAACCTTTTCTGTGGCATCCTGAAGAGGCATAACTTGACACATTGCCCAAATATAGCGGAATGGCAAACCCTCGTGTCCCACAGGACTACAACCCCCCCCCCACCCCACCCCCTCCTTGCACCATCTTTAATACCCATTGAGATTAGCGATGTCAAGCGCATAAGGTCTAAGGTAACTCATTTTTCCCAGGTCCTCATTAGGTGTGTTATTTGTCCCAAATAAGGATGGATGTCATTAGCAAGAGGAGACTCCATGGGTTATGGATGTCACAGATCCAGGAATGTTACCGAGGAATAACACTTCATCATATCCCAAACAAAACTTAATAAGTTCTTATTTAGAAAGTGCTATATGACATGTTACTAGCTTGATAAAAAATGCCCCCCCCCCCCCCAAAAAAAAAAAAAAAAAATATAAATAAATAAATAAATAAATAAATAAATACTGTTAATTTCATTTTGCTGTTTTTCCTTGTACGAGCTAAGATATATCCAACATGCTGTAACTTTGTATATAGTCAACTCTCAAAAAATAAGAACAAACAAATTGAATTGTTCAAAATGGAGACTTTGTTGGATGCTGTTGAAACCCCTTTTTGAAGATAAATATACAACATGAAAACTCCTTGGATTCCTATTGGCTACAGCCAATTATGATACAATGTACAATGATTTACCACAATTATATGTATATATCATAATCTTTAATTTGAAGTTGATATCATATTGTTGCTTAACCAGCAAACTGTACAGTCACCTCTTTACATGTAGACATGACACAGGCTTTTCCTGAACAAAACAACCAGTATACTGCTAGCATCTACATCTACTTCATTCCCATTTTGCTCCTTTATAATCGCCTGCCCTCAGCTCGTGTTGAATTGGTGCCTCCAGAACTTTTGCCATCTTTAGGTAGGCTTGTCACTATCCACACTATAAAAAAGTGTGAAAAAAACACCACGTAAGTTAATGTCAGAAACAACAGGTGTCAGCACCTATTACAAACGAATAGGTGTCAGCACCTATTACGAACAATAGGGGGCAGCAACAACTGCATGGTCTCACCCCCTCTTGATGATAATAGATGTCAGCACCATTGCCTTAAAATATTTCACCTTGGATGTAGGTTTCATGACTAATCTGGTCAGTAAGGACATCAAACAAGAGTTTCGACTCATCTTTCTTCACAAGATGGTAGTGATACAAACACATCTCATGTCAGAGCTAAAGTCATTTCTTTACATTGATAAGTTGTGCACTATGATTTTCTGTATACTCTTTTCACTTCAAGACAACTTCATTTTATAGATGGCATATTTCATAGTATTTCAATTTTTTATCGTAGACACAGTAGTGCTTAATCTAAAATGGAACAAAGAAAATGGAAAATGCCTGTAGAAATTAAACATTGTTTTTTCTCCAATTATATAATTATTAAATTTCAATTTTCCTTTAAACCTTGACGAGTATGAACTTTTGGTCAAGTACCAAGACTAGCAATGTCCATATATTTAATTCAAAGTACAAAACAATGTTCAATTCTCAGACTTTGATCAAATAGAAAAAATGATGCAGTATGAAATAAGTGAAACTTGTAACAATCATATAGGTAAAAATACACAGCAAAACACTGAAAGAGAAAGGAAAAAATAAGATTGTCATTAATCATAAAACTGGCTCAGATAAATACCATGGAACGAACAAAGAATGCACCCAAAAACTGAAAAAAAAATTTATTCCAGAAAATTATAGTGAAATATCTCAAAACAAGAGGGTACTACAAAAGAAAGAAAATATAAGAATGGTTTCATATAACACAAATACATTTTGAAAACTGTTGAATTGATAAGCAATGAAAATGGAAGCAAAAGCAGTGAACTGTGGAAAATTCACAAACATATCAGGTTCCACACAGAGCATGCCAAGGCGACATCATTTTACATCACACAGTCACCTCACAAATGCAAGAAGTAAATGCCACAAAGAGTAAGACTTGACTAAAAAACAATGAGAAACAGAATCCCTGAACTTCTGGAAACTATGAATAAAACACTTTGAAGAAAGCACCCCAATGAAAATAATTTTCAGCTACTGGTCAACTTTGACTGATGGTTTATTAACAAAGATAAACGGAACCTCCTTACACCAACTGAAATAAGTCTTCATTTTACCAACTTAAATAGGTCATCTGCCAATGTGAAAAACTTCAAAAGATCTCCAACACAAACTTTAACAAAATGGCACCGGTCCATCTATTAACCGCTGTAGTCAGGCATACCACACAAGACTTTCAAAGTGGTTCATAAACAACTGCAGTGAGACTAAACTAAAATTAATGACTGGCAAATATCAACATGCAAACTATAGGAGGCAATGGACAAGATGACATGTTTGGTATTTACTTGCAACTACATCAACAAAAATAATTTTAACAAGGATTACAGTTATTACACCTATCAATACTTGAATCACTGACACAACAAAATAGAATACACCTTCTTGTGGTATCTGTGCAGCATCTTCGTTTTCTATTAAATAATGTTTGGGAATATGATGAACTTTCAGGGAATTCTGGAGAATTCATTATGTCTGGGGGTTGTTACCTAGAAGGCTAGAAGTATTACTTATCACACACACACATTCTAATGGCGCATCCTTGGGTAACAGCCAAAGTAGGATAACAGATACCAAACATTAAAGCCATGTATTTAAAATGATTACCAAGACAAGAAGACCCATTTCTGTTGGTTTTTTGGTTATATTTCCAGTTAAAAGTTTCTAGATTCAGATCAATATAGATTTCAGACGATTAAATAAACAAATAGACAAAATTAGAATAAAGACCTTAATCTGATCAATCTGATCAAACAAAACAAAAGGCACCCATTCAGTGGATTATAACCTAGATAGAACATCTATTATTACTAGTCAATATCATACTGAAAGAGGCGTCAATGTTCCAAATTGTATCAGCTGCTCCTCTACTGGCCCCCTCCGGCATCTTTCACGGGGCCTGCAGAGGGGGAGACTATGGCTGCAGGGCTGGTTGGCCCCGGGGCAGTGGCAGGCCCCACAGGGGCCACTGAGGGCCCAGCTGCTGCTCCTGCATCATCTGTCTTGATGTATTTTGTGTACACGTAGACTGCAATGGGAAATGGTATCATACAGCTCAGTGACTGACATAAATACCTGCTGAAATGAAAACTGAGGTAATGTTATAGAAGGGGTATGACATATTACAAACTTGGCATACAAAAATGGATACAGCCTTGGCAGCAGGCTAAAAAAATTCTTTCAGAATGAATCCAACCATCCATTATCTTTAAGAAGTTCAATTCAATCCTTAAGTTCAAAAAAAAAAAAAAAAATCCAGTTTCATGTTGGATGTGTGTATTCTGTCTGAAAGGTATGGAAACTGTAAGGCATTTACCATGGCAACAAGGCAATACTTGTCCTGACAATAAGCCAGACAAAAAAGACTTTGCAAAGGGAACAGCTGAGATGACAATACTACCCATGGTAGGAAAATAATTTTAATGGTACAGGACAGACAATAACAAGAGGAACATAACTAAAGGGTGGGCATAGTGTATGAAACATGACAAGGAGGGCATAAGGCATTATCCATGGCAACAACAAGGGCATAGGGTAGTGACCATGGCAACAGGGAGAGCATAAGGTATAAACCATAGCAACATGGAAAGAAGACGTTCATGCACTTGGACAAATAAAATCAGCGTAAGTCAAGCTGAAGTTTGCCAATCTGGCTGTCAGCTTGTTTGATAAAGACACTGCAATTGTCCACTAAGTCAACAGTTGCAGTGTGGATCTCCTGGTTACCATGACAACATCCAGACTTGATCTGACCTGTTTGTTTTCCATGTGAATGACCTAAATTGTGATCTCATGCTAGCATTTTGGTTTGTGAACTCAATCACAGTGATTTCAATGCTATAAATATCTATTGATTAAAGTTATACACACTGGCATAAGCTCCGAAATGTGATGGCGGAAAAAAATTATAAAATCAATAAATAAACCTACATTAAAATCAACCGATGTTATGACCAAAATGCATCGAGATAACAAGATGCAACTAAAAAAGTATCATGCAATATATCTGGAATAAGTCTGAGATCATGCAGAGCATATATGATTAACATAACAGAAATGCAAGCAACTAAAATAACAAGAAATACAAAAAACTTAAAATAAAAATGCAAAAACCACATCATCAAACAAGGGAAGAAAGACAACATCCATGACCATCACAATTTTCTGATAACCACCATGATAAAAAAAATTATCAGTATTAATTTGGCAGCCATAATTCAGCGCAAATCCCGAGCTGGATCCCTAAAGAAAATGCAAGCATGCAATGAACAGAGTGGCTGTAAAAATGAGGCACTGCATCTGGAATATGTGGCGAAAACAACCAAACTACGCAATAGAAAAGAAATATAATAAATAATGTCAAATTAATTATAATTACATTTACAAAAATCAAATTGTCTTGAAGTGAAGTGAAAAGATGAAATAAATATAATGCACTTCTATTAAAATATATGCTCCCCCTTGGTACATGATGACAGTGTCAGTTTGATTGGTCAGACCAAGTTGGTCACATTAAAAATACAACATAAACAACTTTAATCTTTTTTTTTTTCAATTATTTTTAATTGTTTAACATCCTAAATCATTCTTTATTGCTTAATATTTAGATAAAAATATCACTTTTGCTACAGTTATTGAATAATCATTTTTATAACTTTAAAAATATTAATTATTACAACTTTTAAAAGACATTAAATGCATGCTCTTATTTATATGATCATGCTTTTTTCAAAGCTTTGTTAAATCAGGCACACCATCTGAAAAGAAACTGCTTTGTATACAAAAATAATTCACAATCCGTTCATCTGAACTTTGGACATATATTTTTTATTTGCCAAGATATAAATAGAATTCATTTACTAGTATCTTATAATTTTCTTTGTTATCAAAATCAGCTTGGTGTCTGAATTGAGAAAGCTCAATCTGAAGATGCATTCAGAACAGGCCTAAATTAAACAGAAAAACTGACATCATCAAGGGAAATCCCTTATCATGGGGTTTAATTCTATAAGACAACAAAATGGTCCTCATCTGATTGTATGGTGATGTCAGCTTAACTACCAACAGTTTAAGTTAGATATGATCTGAATACCCAAAAGTATTTCACCATGCACGCCAGTGTTTAACTATCTAATACTCACCCTTGCTGATAAAATTTACACTACATCAAAGACAAACATGTCATGTACAGTTAACAATATAAAAGTATAGCAAAAGAAAGAAAGAATCCATCTCATGTCTTAAATTTGGCTTGAGGAGGGGAGGGGGATTACTGAGAATGCAGCACTGATGTTTTAATATAAATCTGCTCTGAGCAGATCTGCTGCACCCCCCTCCTCCGCCTAGTTTTTATTGCAGATCTCCATTGATATCAAAATTATATTTTTGGCTTCCAAAAATCAGAAATCTGCCAATAGTTGGGAAAATCTCAACCCATTCCATTAGAGATGGCTTCTTCAACAACTCATGAAATATCAAAACATAAATATGAACTGAAACTAATGACTTACCAACAATAATAATAATTATAACCACTGCAACACCTATAATTATTAACCACATCTGAAAGAAAGTGGTAAAAAGAAATGAAACAAAGAATCAAATGGCTACAAATCAAAGAGTGCTATAATCAGAGACACAACAATAACACACATACATTTACAATGGAGAGCTGATGATATAAATTTGTTATGAACTGTGCAATGTACAGTGCTAACCCCCCTCCCTTCCTTCCCCCTCAAAATCTCTCCATGGTCCCCAATTCAAGGCTGATTTTTTTTTTTTTTTTTAGTTTGTGGTCACATCTTCAAACCGTTCCAATTTTGAAAATTTTAGACCTTGAAATGGGGAATAAAACACAAACTGTTGCATCTTGGTTCAGTGTCAACATTTTTGGAAAAAAATAGCAAACTTCAAATTGCTATTCCAATGGCTTTTGTTCAATGACAAACCACAAATATACTGGACGTGCCCACCCTCAAGACTAGTTTGCCTAAATAAATACCATGTAATTCTAAAACCTGTCTTCTTTCATCTCAGTCCATGTCCTCTTAACTAATCAGGTACAGAAAGAAATTGCTTTTAAATGACACTGAACTTTTAAAAAAGATCCAACAGAAAAAACATCTACAAAATTGCACACACACATACACACACATTCACAAGTTAATCTGTGACTAAAAAGCAGATCGTACTCGTGATTGGAACTTACCGCCCACTATGATAACCACAACAGCTATCACAACTCCCATCATTATCATACTCTGAGGGGGAGGGGGCACAAATGACATTTAACACTGGTTAGAGCACATATAAGACCAGTTTGGCTTGGAAGTAACTACAGTGGCACATTGAGGAACGTACAGTGCACATTTATGCCTGGCTAGGGCCTATTTAAGCCCAGGCAGGCAACATTTAAGCCTGTCTTACCAATAATAATGATTACAATTACAGCTATTACGCCACCCATCATTATCATCATCTAGGAACAAATAGATCAAATTACGATTTAAAATCTTCATTTATACACCTGTATCTAATCAATAAAAGATATTGGCCAGAATGGTTTGATTTGCAATCTCAACAACAGTTATGAAAACATAAATATGTACATTTCTATGCATTAATTTACAGGCTATATAAAAAATTAACACAAATCAAATGTAATTTTATTTTAAAAGACAGCCAATTCAGCCTTCTTCATATGAGGATATCCCAAGATCATTAAATTCATTAAATAATAACCACCCCCTGTCACCAAAAATAAATGTTTGCCTTTGTAAATAGTTTCAAATACCTTTATTCAAAATTATATATATATATATATATATATATATATATATATATATATATATATATATATATATATATATATATCAAAATGGCCCATCATAAAAAGGTAATCACAAGAAGCAGCAGGTCCTAAAATAATTCCTGGGAGAAACACTTAAAAGTCTTCTGAGAATCTGTGATTTTTTTCATTTAAATAACTAAAACCTAAAGTCTGGAGGGGGGGGGGGGAGATCAGGCATACATGCTTTTTGAAATTTGTGAATAATTGTCACACAAAGTCTCCAGTTATCTGAAATTTTAAGATATTTTCAAGGTATTTTATCAATGTTCTCAGAATATTCAAACTAAATGCTAATTTCAATTTTCTGTGGAGAGAATTAAGTTTGTAAGAACCTCATACAGATACTGCTGCTGCAATGACTTCTCAGCTTTTTATGATGAACAACTAACAGAAAAGAAGACAGTTGAAATACAAATGCAAGTTTACATTCCAATGAGCAACAAATTCTGAGAAAATGGCAGATTCAGCTACCACACTTTCCAAAAGGTGAGAAACACAAACAAGGCTCAATATGGCAAATTTTTCATAACTTCAAAACGATCCGCACAATTTCTTCTTAACAGTGAATGGAAAACAAATTCAATGATTTTAACCTGAATCTGCTAGAGGTATTGCTCTTCAGTAATATTACATGTAAATATTTGCATTTCACAACTTTTTTTGCAACCCAGATATATATGCCAAACAGACATGGAGAGCTTGGCTTAGAATACCATTACAACAAGTGTGTTCAACCCCCCAAGAGCTCTAGATCTGTATAAGTGACTTGGCAATAGGTTTAAGAGTTCCATGAAACAATAAAATGTTCCAAATTAAAGCTGCATTAGGAGTTTGAGAATAACAACCATGCCCTCAGCCACAGACTACATAAACCTGATACAATGTTGTTGTAATGCTACGTTAAGCTGCTCTAAATTAAGGACAAAGAAAGAAAGAAAAGATGAAAGAAAAAAAGAAAGCAACTTCAAATATTGAACCTTGCAGTTTTGCCACCAATATTTTCGCTTCAAGCGGCCAGCGCTGCTCTCAAACTGTTGGGCACCCACTTGAAGTTGTTCTATTAAAAAGGAAAAAAATAAATGAACAGGTAATGAACTAAATGGTTTTTACACAGAAGGAGAGGCCAAACCTTGTATGTCGCTGCAGTCCAGCAGTATGGTACAATGCATTATGTGTTCACAGGGAAATTGCAAATAGAGGACAGAACAGTTTCCTTAAACTTTTGATCACCTCAAACACCCACTAATAAGTATAATCCGTCATTTTTGCCATATTACCACACCAATATACCTCTCTTTCACATAGCAGCACAAGGCATATTTCTTTTCAAGTACCATGAAGCAATTTTTTGGTTAATCATAATTTTAAGTCTTATTTTTTTCTTTATGTCTATGTTTCCCCTTGAACACTATAAAATGCAATGCCATTGTACTAAACTGTTCCACATATACACAAAAATAACCTAAAATAAAATTCAAATTATTTGGGCACACACAACAGAGTAAGAAGGGAACTAAAATAACATGCACTGAAGCAGAGACTGAAATTTGCACAAGCCTGAAACTTAAGTCAAATAAGAAGGCACCATCTGCTTCCAGTCTATCAAAAGGATCATCGTTTCATTTCCAAAACACATGTATGGAAAGATTTCACCAAAAGAAAGAATATTTTTGTATCTATTATCTGTTTTTCTCCTAAAATTTCTTTAATACATATTCACCTTGGAAGCAGACATTATCATTGTTAGAAACCAAAGTAAAGGCAAAACTAAGTGAAAGCCGGAGACAGAGGAAGCCCTCCAAAAAGCAACCACCAACTGTAGGTGGCAGCAGCTGCCTCTAGCTAAGAAGCAGCAACCAACTGTAGGTGGCAGCAGCTTACAAGAAGCAACCAACAGTAAAAATGGCAGTAGCTATCTATATATAGAAGCAACCAGATATATAGGTAGCAGCTCTGTCTACCTTGCAGTTCTTCCACCAATACTTGTTTTTAAGTTTGCCAGCGCTAGCCTCAAACTGGGATGCTCCTGCCTGCAGTGCATCTGAGAAGGTAGGAGGGAGAGTGCAATGCAATTAGATCATTAGCAGCATTTTGACCCCTGCAAAAATTGGTCTCGTTTAACGCTCACTTACCTACAGTTCTCAATCTGTCCAAGAATGTAATGTTTTTTTGTTTTTTTTTTTGTTGAAAAAATATTCTGAATCTGTTCTAGGACATTCTGAAGGACTTCCCAAAAACAGTTCTCGAACTGTTAAATTCGTTACAGAACGACATTAGAACTGTAAAAAAATACACCAAATGCTCTAGAATAGATTGAGAACCGTAAGTGAACTTTAAATGAAACAAATTTTCGCAGAGGTTGACCCATCTGATCATTTATTTTTCTGTTTTTAATAATGAATTTTTCAAAGCAGAAAGTTTCCATGCGACTTCTCCATTTTCTATATGTCAGTGTGGCTACTGTAACAGTACCCGTACAATAAAAATTCTGCCCCATTGCATGCTAGAGCCCAAACCATAGCATATACAACAGTTACTGCAGTAAGAAGCCACAAAACGATTGAATTTGCAGAGATTTGGTTGCTCCATTTTTTTAGAAACACCAATCTGATATTTTCATGTGTGGAACCATCATCAGAAAATTGTCATTTTCAAATCCTATGCTTTTTGTAGAATTTAAGAATCAATTTGAAATTAAAAAAAAACAATGCATAGTGCCAATACCATAGTATACAAATGGAAGATAACCCAACAACATACAGTGCAATATATAATATACATAATATATAAAATTCCTAAGGCAACATTGAAGTGTGCTTCAACTGGAAACTTTCTGCTCTAAATGGTATATTATTTATGAGTATAGCATTGGTAAGCTGTTGGTGTATTCAGAGATATAGGCTCAAGTAAATCATCATTTCCACACTGCACATTTCCAATTTCGTCCTCAAATCGGGTATTGACACAAACTTTGAAACAAATAGTTTTCTATATTATTTCTTCACAGAGGTTCAGTGAGAATATTTACACAACACCGAGGTCATCACTTGGGTGACCTACGGTAGAGTAATTTCTGTTTATTTTTCTGAAACCAATGTCTACATTGGACCGACCAGTCATCATCATCATTAAGAGATGGTATATTCAAGAGTTTGTCAAATACGAGTCGTGAGCAGCAGTGTCTTGGTCAAAAGTCAGCAACTCTAATAGAAGATATTTACTTCAGCCTACATATAGATGATAACTAATACATACTTTTAAACGACCAAATGGCAATATAATGTACAGGGGACTATGCCATGACCATTTCTATAAGGGCGCATTTAGGATTTTAAAGTCTATGGAATATGCATGACATGCCAAAAGTTACGCTTCATTAAATTGAAGCAAAACAAACAAATTCTATTCATTTCCTTTTTTTTTCCTTTTTTTTTTTTGTTTAATTGACATCATCATTAAACTGTGGTCTTCCAAAAGAAGCAGATTAACTCATCATTTGCAAAGGCTATGCAGTGCTTTTTAAATACAGGGTTTAACAGTGCAATTCAAACAGTTAATCAATTCTGCTTTATTCAAGTAATGTAAAAGATATTAATCTAAAAGCTATTAGTAATCATCAGTTATTCATAAAGGGTAACATCTTTATAACAGAAATTCTAATATTTAAATCACTTAAATCTTTAAGACTGAATTACAATATAAAATAAAATTTAAAAGAGAATGTATCTTATGTAAGTTTTAATAATTACAAGACGAAAAAAACAACATTTACTGTCATCTTAAATGTTAAACTTTCAAGCATAAAATTACGAGCAACATTAAGAAGATAAATTTTGCGTTCACACAATTGGTCTATTTTAGGTACAAACTAGGTTCTAAACAAGTAAAATTTGATTGTGAGATTCATGTAATAATCATGTCAATGACAATTCTAGTCTAGATTTTTCAAAAATAGATTAAAAATACAAGACCAAATACTTTTTTGTGTAAACACAGTATCAAAACACAATGAAAGCTCAAAGGAAGCCTTAAGTTAGATTTACCTGCTCGTTCGTCTAACTGTGATAACTTTTGATCACGTTCTAAAACTTTTTCCACATTAACGCGCATAATATCTACAACCTAAGAAAAGATAGACAAAACAATAAAGAAAGAAATGCAACATAAAAACCGAAAAAAAGTTATCAACTCAATATCAAACAAGAGAAAAAAGAACTGATTCTTGATCTGCATCACCAGGTGGCTTCTCTGTAACCACAAATAAACCAATCACAAATCAGAGTCAAGTGCACAAGGTCAAGGTCACTTGCATAAGGTGAAGGACAAATGTCATGATGATGAATATGATAATGATTTGAAATCGGTGTTCAGCAGATATGGTTTTGTATAAAATTGTTTCACTTCACAGGCTAGGAAAAATAAGTGTTTCAAATGTGATGAAAAAGGCTAAATAAAAAAGTGAATGATGTAAAACATATCAGAAAATAATGAAAGTATGTTTTGAGGAGCAATGCGTTTTAACTACATCACTGCGAATGTGCTTGAACAGTTTGAATTTGCCCGTCCAAACATATGAAACTGTAAGAAAGGAAAAAAAGATGCATAAAAAAAGAAAAGAGAGATGAATGCAAAGGCGATGGTCAAGATCTACAAATGCTCTCCCTTCAACAAAAGAGAGCCAGACCAGCAGTCCACTCGTATTACCTGCTCGCTCATCTAACTGCGTTAACTTTTGATCGCGCTCTAAAACTTTTTCCACATTGACCCGCATAATCTCCACAACCTAGGTACGGATGATGAGAAGAAAAAGATGAGAACAACAAATGAGAAACTGAATAATGAAATGAGATACCAATGGTTTACCTTCTTGTCAAGTGTCAAAGGGCTACCTTCTTTAAAGGTAATTTTTCGAAATTTTGTACCAGTCTCATAAATTTTGATAGTCATCCATTGTGAGAAATTGACTTTTGAGAAACTGCGAGATATTTTTATCAGGAGTTTTTTCAGACTGCAGCTCCTTGACACTTGAACAATTCCCCATCACCGATACTGAAGAAAAGCATGATGCTGAAAGATAATGGAGTCCACAGTGTAAATATCCTGTACGGAACATAAACAATACAACAAATAAATCAGCACATGCATGATCAAATAGCAAAAAATACAACATTCACATTAACAATGATGCTGATAATAATCAGTCATGCCCAGCTTTTCAATCAGTTTAGTTTGCCTAAACAGAAAAGTTTCAAGTTGACAAAAAATAACCATCGATTGGCCAATCAAAATGGCTGCCAAGGCCCAAGGGTGACGATGAAGACGACGATCATTGTTCCGTTACCTGCACGCCCGTCAAGTTCGGACAATTTCTGGTCACGCTCCAATACTTTCTCCACGTTTACTCGCATGATATCAACTACCTGAGAATACATGGGAAAAGTTACGTTGGCGCGCTCAAATACTAGGGCACAGGTTTCCTAACATTATAGCTACCAGGGCCGTAGCCTGAGCAAAATGCCAGGGGGGGCAGTAAGCGGACACGAGGGGGCAAAGCCCCCGAGGGGGTGGGGTGGGTGTGGAAAATTTTTAAAAAACTGTATGTATAATACTGCATTCTAGTGCATTTTAACTGTTATTTATTGCTCAATCAGAAGTCAAAAATTGTGGGTTCATTTTGCCATTTTGCCATATTTGCGCCTCAAATCCCAGGGGGGGCAGCTGCCCCCCCTGCCCCCCCGGAGGCTACGGCCCTGGCTACAGATACAAGACATTTAAAAGCTAACATTTGTGGGGGTGAGGGGAGAGTTCCATGACAGGATCATAACTGAATCCAAATGTATCATCAATGGAACAATGTCTCCAAATTAAACAATGTGAAATTTTGTCATGTTTATTACAAATTTAAGGCATTATTTTGCAGATCTGGCATTCATACGGTTGACATTGAATCACTCCGAACAAATCACCCCACACATTTAATCTTTTTTTCTTTGTAATTAAGAAAATCCCCTTGTTGTGGTATCTTAGAGGTGGGGTTACAAGAGGTATCAAGTGAGGGTGGGGGGTATACAGAGTCCGGCTGCATTATCGGATAAAACATTTTTCAAGAAAGATGACGTCGTTACCTTAAAACAATGAGAAAGTCAATGTAATACTGACAATAAAAATATTATATAAAGTCAAGGCAAAAGGAGTATGAAAGGGCTTGTTGTCAGCCACTTCTCTTCATCAGTATGGTACTGTACCATTGGAGAAATATACTTCATATGGTTTATTTATTAGCTATACCAGCAAGCAGGGGAAGAAATATATCTGCTTTCCTGGTCCTTGCCATTACCTGAAAACAATCTCCAGTTACGATCATACAATTTCATACATACATCAACTATAATGGAAATTTAATCGGCAACATTTCTCTATAAAAACAAGCCAAAAAAAATTACCTCTATGTATTGCAAATACGTGCAGTGGATTTTCAATTTTTTACACCACAGTACATTATATTATAGACTCTCTACAATTTACAGTCAAGTACTTGAATCTTTTGTGTTAAATGAATTATGACAGTGCTCCTCTCACTGAGCACATCAATACGTCAGTCACAGAGCCACTTTGAAATCCACTTACCTCATCAACCTGAGCCTGTGTTTGCTGTAATTTCTTGCTGGGCTGTGCAGGTCCCGGAGGTCCCCCTGGCCCACCAGCTGCTGACCTACATAACACAAAAAGGTCAAGGTTACCAAAGGTCAGGGTCACAGAAAGGTCAAGGCCAAACAATATAGTGTGTAGGTCATGATACTTACCCTGACCCACTAGTGGTCAATATTTATACATAAAACATACAATGGATCAAGGTCATGTAAATAGGTCAAACAGATATCTGGGTTGTGCAGTTCCTTTAGTTATACAGATCCGTAAACACAAAATTTGAAAAGAGGAAACAACAGAATTCTGCTAAACACAAATATAAGGCATTAATATAGCTTTGAAAATTTAGATTTTTTGCACTTTAAATTATAAATTAATTTTGTGATGCTTCATACTTTAATAATGTGCATTTTACCATTTGACATTTTAAGAATATTTCAAATATTCACTTTATTATGAAATAATACTATATACAATAAAAAGTGCAGTACTACAAAGTGTATTTACAAACCATAGAAATCATGGAAAAAAGTAAATAAACACTTAATGTGCACACGGGTCATAACCTTTCCTAAGTAACTGCCATTATTGCAAATATTTATGAAAGAAAGTATAAAACTAAAACATACGGGAAGCAATATTTCTGTGATAACTATAGTAATAACAAAAATCAAACTGTAAATTATAATAATTCAATCTTTTAATATGAACACAACTTTAACACACAAGATTGCTTTCAAAAATGTTAATTTAATTTTTCTCAAATATATCATGAAATATTGTGAAGAACTTTCTGGAAATGCTTAAAAATCAATAACAATCAATGATCAATAATAAATACTTTTTGCACACACATACAGAAATAAATGGATTATTTTATACCAAATTAAAAAATAATAAAGAAATCAGACCTCTACAGAAAAATGTTCACTGCTGACCAAAGTCAAAACTAAAGTGCAGAAAAAATATTGAAACAAGTAAGCAGAAACACACTGGACAGGCCTGTCTTGGCCTGAGGACTTACGGAGGGCCACCTGGTGTCTCAGGGTTTGGTGCAGCCCTGTGGTTGCATGCAATGAAATCATCAACATTATATTGAACACTGTAATATTAACATTCAACACTTGTATGTCAATTTCTTTCTGTAAATTACTCCATCAAAAACCCTTTTTGTTGCCTTATCAATTCCCTTTATTGCCAAAAAGTCAGTTACAACAGTCTTATTTTTCCAAAATTCAAATTGTATGATATCATTTTATTTATTTATTTAGTCAATCCAGTGTTTCCCCTGCACTTAAATGAGCGAGGCGCCTGCCTCGCTGATATTTGCAAGCGCCTCGCTGAAATTTGTCAAAAGCACCGCCTCGCTGGGATATATGGAACAACAAAGTATATTTTCACTCATGCTAACTGAAAATTATATTTATTTCTAAACAAATATGGCATTTTCTGTTTACATACGTAATCCCATGCTTCTGAGCACTTGATTTAGTAGTAACGGAAATACGCATGCGCGTATGCCTAAAAAATAACTAGCAGTTACTATCTCCCTGTGAGTGCCTCGTTTTCGCAGTTCTGTGCCTTATTTGAAGTATAAGAGACAGAGCGAAACGAGGCAACTGTTCTTGACACCATTTAATCACGTGTCAAGAATACACTTTCTCTATCACTTCATGTTCCGAAATTCAGACCGCCTGTTGTTTGTTTTTATAGTTTACGAATATTCACTGATAAAAAAGGAGCAAATAAAGTGGACTTTGTTGATTTTATAAACTTGGAGAGGATTTTCTATTGATTTACGGGTGAGTTTTGTGAAAGCAGTAGCGTTGTAAAACTGGGTCACGTCAGTATTTCGCGTGGAAACCTATGCATTGAATATGAATTTCCATGACTGAATAGAACCATATACATGAATAAACGAAGAACTAAAATTGATGATAAGTGTGATTTTCATCTCTTTAATTCCGAAGAATTCATTTAACGGTGTTTGAAGTTGTTGATTGTAAATTACATCTCAAACTACGTATAACTAGTAGCGGGAGTCGCTTTGCGCTGAACGACAAGAGAGAGAACTTTTTGCGGCAGTTTTATATTAGGATGAAGCGCTCGCACACGCAAAGTCAATTGACCAGTTACTTTCACAAGAATGTGAAAACGGTAAAAACAACATATTTTATCAACTTTTTGGTCAATTTAAAAATAATTCAATGTAGTAAGCCCTTTATCTTGTAAGTATTAAAGAAGTTGACTTTTTTTTTTTTGAAAGAGTATGTTCTATAAACTGAAAAGGACTAAACTGAGTGAATGCACAGACTGGAAAATAAATTTTGTCCAAACCTTTGTTATGTCATTACTGAATTTACTCCTCAAAACATCTAAAACAAGACAATTCAGTGCCACATAAAATGTAAAAAAAATCGGTTCTAAATACCCTAAAATGCACCAAATTGCATCTCGATTTAAAAAAATTTTCCGGGGGGGCATGCCCCCGGACCCCCCTAGTATTGCTGGGATCCCGGACTGCCTACCACCTCGCAGAGCTTGAAAGCCAGGGGAAACACTGCAATCAATCATTTTTATTAAATGCATTAGTTAACTTTTTTTTTTACTTTGAAAACTCTTGTCAACATGAGCTCCCCGTGTGGTCTCAAAGTTATGGGTAAATGTATATATCAAATACACAGCTTTTTTGCCTTATGATAACTTCTTAATCAAAATCAAAATTTTTGCAATGTCAAAAAAAGCCCTTTCTTAGGATGGTGTGCTTCAAACAACCTGCTTCACTTCCTGCTCGATTTTCACACTTACAATATGGTTGGTACATGTCAGTGCAAAGCCTTTTTTTCAATAATAGACAGCACATTAACCATAAATCCAATTTTCCCCGAGTTCAATACCAGGGAAGCCCTTATATCAAAGCTATTAAAGCATTTTTTATGTCTGAAATTGAATGCTGCATCTCTCCCATTCTGAATAGATCAGCTTAACTGCATGACACCACTTTCTTCAATCAATATTCTAACTCTGGTATCAAATTGACCTCATTAACATAAATTATTGATCAAGAGCTGCCTTGCAATGCGTCTTATAGCCTCTGATCAATCAATAGCATTTCAACACAAGTATGACTCTCAAATTTCAGACACCTTATTTTCATGCATTTGATACTTTGAATTTCCAAGTTAATTATTTTCAGTTTCCATCAAAAATAATCTTATTGGCATAAACTATATTTATCTGCCATAAATTAATTTCCATCTGATCTAGTTTTACTTTCTACAGTGTATTTAAGGAAATTAAACTTAACAACCAAGTTTGTAATTCGTAGGTGACTATGGTGTACACCAAAAGGAGAAAAAACAAACTGGACAATATATAGAAAGAAGGATATTTTGCTTCCTAATGTGGGATGATAAATTGATTAACTCTTCAATATCATGCCTTTTGACTAGGCTCTTCCCATATATTTAAGAGAGCTTTTAACAAACAAAAATGTTAAAAATTTGGGCGAGCTTCAAACCATTTGGCATTGTTCACCTTCATTCACAGTTTAAGTTAATAGAGTTGACATAGAGTTGATAATGAAAAATCACCCTTTTAAAATCCTGAATGTCTCTCACACTATCATGGGTGAAAATGTCACATGGGAGTTCTACAAGTACAAATTTTGGAGCCAATGACAATCTCATTTTAGAAACAATTGAGAATACCCTCAGCGNGACGGCGACATCGACGGCGACAGGGACGGCGACAGGGACGGCGACGGCGACGACAGACGCAGGTGATGGCAATATGTACAGACACATCTGTGTCTGTACATAACAATGGATCAAGGTCATGTAAATAGGTCAAACAGATATCTGGGTTGTGCAGTTCCTTTAGTTATACAGATCCGTAAACACAAAATTTGAAAAGAGGAAACAACAGCATTCTGCTAAACACAAATATAACTATTAAGGCATTAATATAGCTTTGAAAATTTAGATTTTTTGCACTTTAAATTATAAATTAATTTAGTGATGCTTCATACTTTAATAATGTGCATTTTACCATTTGACATTTTAAGAATATTTCAAATATTCACTTAATTATGAAATATACTATATACAATAAAAAGTGCAGTACTACAAAGTGTATTTACAAACCATAAAAATCATGGAAAAAAGTAAATAAACACTTAATGTGCACACGGGCCATAACCTTTCCTAAGTAACTGCCATTATTGCAAATATTTATGAAAGAAAGTATAAAACTAAAACATACGGGAAGCAATATTTCTGTGATAACTATAGTAATAACAAAAATCAAACTGTAAATTATAATAATTCAATCTTTTTAATAAGAACACAACTTTAACACACAAGATTGCTTTCAAAAATGTTAATTTAATTTTTCTCAAATATATCACGAAATATTGTGAAGAACTTTCTGGAAATGCTTAAAAATCAATAATAATCAATTATCAATAATAAATACTATTTGCACACACATACAGAAATAAATGGATTATTTTATACCAAATTAAAAAATAATTAAGAAATCAGACCTCTACAGAAAAATGTTCACTGCTGACCAAAGTCAAAACTAAAGTGCAGAAAAAATATTGAAACAAGTAAGCAGAAACACACTGGACAGGCCTGTCTTGGCCTGAGGACTTACGGAGGGCCACCTGGTGTCTCAGGGTTTGGTGCAGCCCTGTGGTTGCATGCAATGAAATCATCAACATTATATTGAACACTGTAATATTAACATTCAACACTTGTATGTCAATTTCTTTCTGTAAATTACTCCATCAAAAACCCTTTTTGTTGCCTTATCAATTCCCTTTATTGCCAAAAAGTCAGTTACAACAGTCTTATTTTTCCAAAATTCAAATTGTATGATATCATTTTATTTATTTATTTAGTCAATCAATCATTTTTATTAAATGCATTAGTTAACTTTTTTTTTACTTTGAAAACTCTTGTCAACATGAGCTCCCCGTGTGGTCTCAAAGTTATGGGTAAATGCATATATCAAATATACAGCTTTTTTGCCTTATGATAACTTCTTAATCAAAATCAAAATTTTTGCAATGTCAAAAAAAGCCCTTTCTTAGGATGGTGTGCTTCAAACAACCTGCTTCACTTCCTGCTCGATTTTCACACTTACAATATGGTTGGTACATGTCAGTGCAAAGCCTTTTTTTCAATAATAGACAGCACATTAACCATAAATCCAATTTTCCTGAGTTCAATACCAGGGAAGCCCTTATATCAAAGCTATTAAAGCATTTTTTATGTCTGAAATTGAATGCTGCATCTCTCCCATTCTGAATAGATCAGCTAAACTGCATGACACCACTTTCTTCAATCAATATTCTAACTCTGGTATCAAATTGACCTCATTAACATAAATTATTGATCAAGAGCTGCCTTGCAATGCGTCTTATAGCCTCTGATCAATCAATAGCATTTCCACACAAGTATGACTCTCAAATTTCAGACACCTTATTTTCATGCATTTGATACTTTGAATTTCCAAGTTAATTATTTTCAGTTTCCATCAAAAATAATCTTATTGGCATAAACTATATTTATCTGCCATTAATTAATTTCCATCTGATCTAGTTTTACTTTCTACAGTGTATTTAAAGAAATTAAACTTAACAACCAAGTTCGTAATTCGTAGGTGACTATGGTGTACACCAAAAGGAGAAAAAACAAACTGGACAATATATATATAAAGAAGGATATTTTGCTTCCTAATGTGGGATGATAAATTGATTAACTCTTCAATATCATGCCTTTTGACTAGGCTCTTCCCACATATATAAGAGAGCCTTTAACAAACAAAAATTTTAAAAATTTGGGCGAGCTTCAAACCATTTGGCATTGTTCACCTTCATTCACAGTTTAAGTTAATAGAGTTGACATAGAGTTGATAATGAAAAATCACCCTTTTAAAACTCTGACTGTCTCACACTATCATGGGTGAAAATGCCACATGAGAGTTCTACAAGTACAACTTTTGGAGCCAATGACAATCTCATTTTAGAAACAATTGAGAATACTCACAGGANGAAACAATTGAGAATACCCTCAGCGCCTTCCTGCAGTTGGTGTGAAAATGGCTTCATATGTACGGTACCAGTATGTATGCAATATAAATATATAATGATTCCACCAGTATTTGTGAATATGTTCGACACAAATACTTCGGCACATTTAGTTTCATTTATATATACATAAATAAAACACAGTTACATATGAGTATAAAGAAAGAAAGAAAACGAAATTGTCATACTTCAGGAGCAACTTATACTTTCATTATACAATATTTCTTCCACTGTGCCACAAGTCCATCAGTTCTAAAATGACTGGGAGCCAGGCACTAGGAAGTGGAGCTCTCACTCTCCCACTGTGTATCACTTTTTTCCAAGGCCAACAACACAGTGACCTTGCATAAACTTTTAATAAACTGATTGTATTTATTTACACAATGAATCATACATGCATGCATCACATGCATAGGGTCATCATGCAATCCACTTGTAGACTGAATGGGTTACTTGAAAAGTGGGTCATTTCTTTCAGAAAGAAACTTTGTTCAACATGAAACCATTGCAAAACGATATATTGGCTGTTGAAAAAAGTCGATAAATTCGCCATTTCATTATACACGACCCTCACTTCCTGCATTTAATAATAGTAGATATATGTGGTTTTCGTGACATGACAAAATAACTGACAATTCGACTAACGGTCTGAACTATGAGCTGGGATATCTGACGGACAAATATTCAACTACCATGGCAATGTCACTTTTAAAATGCAGGCAAATCAAATGGAAGATATAAATCTTTTCGTCGTGTTGACAATATTTTGATCGATGATCGACTGACATTCGGTTGCAACGACGGACTCGGCGTCTAATTTCTACTCATAAAGTATTTTCTCGACTTAACAAATATCAACATCAGGTTGACGAGTACTTATTTAAAGTGATCCATACTTACATGTTGGAGTTATGAATGGAAATGCTGAAAGAACCCTATATTTTCTCCAACGCCACTGTTGCAAAATGGCACGGTTTTCGGATCAGCAGATGATGTCATTATCCGGGTACCTTCAAAAGGGAGCAGGCATTAGTCGATAACGTAAAATTCACAACTTTGCCTCACAAGATCTTTCTTACCAACAACATGAAAATCACACATATAAACATATTTTTGTGATTTTTTTAAATTGGTAAAAAGCATTGTTTAGAATTCTTTGTGGCTTTCGAATAATTTTCGAATGATCGATTTGACAAGACCTGGATCTCGCTTTTCATGCAGCCAAGACACGCCACGAAAATGGCCGAATACGAGCGTGTACTATGTGTGAAAAATGAAGTTTTCGTATACAGAATCCCCCCTAGGCCTTCGAATCGAGGCTACAGGTAGATACGCTATCTATAATCTTATTCTGTTCATCCTGCATTGATTTTAAATTAAACGAAGGTGTTCGTAGTGTATTTTGAGAGGAACCATTTTACCGGCCGGTGGAAAGGGGAAGTGGGTGGCACTTGTCACAAGCTTTCACCGAGCTTAGATCTCACCGATAAGATCTGGAATCACTGAGAAATTGCCAAGTTCTGTGCTTCTGCTTTTATAGTGGAATTCATAGGCCTGGGCGTGTGTTAATCTTAATTTTGTTTTGAATGTCAGTTTTTATATTTTTAAAACTATAAATTAACTTGGCTGCATTAGTTTCAATGAAACACCTAATTTGCGTCTACAGGTGTCAAAAACAATAAAAGTGTTTTCAACAAACTATTTGCAGTGTATAATGCTAATAAAAACAATGCGCTCTAGTCAAATATGGACACTCAATGTCTCATAGTGATAAACTCTGTAAACACACACACACAGAGAGAGAGAGAGAGAGAGATGAACCTATATGGATGGACAGACAGAGAGACAGACGTGTATATCTTTTCTTCTTTTTCTCAGGGCAGCAGACTGGACATTGGACAAGCCAGACTGGACAGGGAGGCTAAGGGTGACCTCTAAAGGTTCAGAACTCAATATAAAGTTGGAAGATAAAATATCAGGTATAGAATAAAGAATAAATGGGATTGTCATAAAGGGTTATTTGTACTTATATCAGTGGACTTTGGTTTGTTGTGTGTGTGTGTGAGGGAGGGAGTAAAAAGGACTTGATATACTGAGTTCTTTAGTGTGTTCATTTTAAACTGTTAAGTAAACGCCCCCTCCCCCAAAGAAAAAGGGAGAAAGAAAGAAAAAAATGTGAAAGGATTTTCACAGTTAAGAAGCTTGGTTTGAACTGACCTTAGTTAAAGTGGAAATCTGTGCCCGCCCTTCCCCCCCCCCCCCCAAAAAAAAAGTAATAATAATAATAATAATAACGCCCATAGTAACCACAAAACCCATGAATTAACCAACACACTGTACAATTATTTAGCACCAACAAAGCGATACCTAGCACCAATATTCATCCACTCTGGTAGTGCTGGTTAATTTGTGGGTTTGGTGGTTAATATGGGTGTTAGTGCTGAAAGATCTGCGGGTGGTGTTAGTAAACGCCTAATCTGTTTACAAGGCCTGAAATAGAAAGGATAAGTTGGAAGATGTTATCATGACATGTAGAATTTCAATTCTTTTGTTTTAGGAGAGCTATTTGCTAAGTGTCCAGTGGAAGCCTACCCAGGAGTGGCCGTGGAGGCAGTCATGGATTCAAGTAGATACTTTGTGTTAAGAATCCGAGATGAAAGCGGTAAGGTGACCAATGGAAATTCAAGGGCATAGGGAAGGGGAAAAAGATACTGCTTTAAACAGATTATTTTAGATAAAATTGTGCTTTTGTTATGTTGACCTGAGTATAAAGACAACAGTGTTAACCCAGCTCCATTTATTGACTGATTTTAAAACACTTTTGACAGATCCTCTTTAAAAGATGAAAACAGAAATCTCCACCTCATTGTAGTTGTATTAATTGTTTAATATTATCTAATAAATTTTATATAATATTGTTAATATTATAAATGCCAAATTTGTTAATTTTGAATATGATTTCCAAGTAAAAAGGTATTAGTTTGAGTGTTGCCTTTTCTGCAACTAAACATATTTCTTATATATTTAAAGTTATTGTTATATTGTACATTGAGAGATCTTAAAAACTGGAATACTGTTAAAGAACCCTTAAACTGTCTGTTACAGGTCGAAGTGCCTTTATTGGAATTGGCTTTACTGACAGAGGGGATTCCTTTGATTTGAATGTAGCACTACAGGATCATTTCAAGTAAGTATTATATACACCTGCATTGTGTTCACTTGTGTTATATTTGTTAACAGTTTGAGTACAACAGAACTGGTGGTTATAGAAGTATGTTGGAAACAAGATGAGGTGTATTGATTTGATTGCATTCAGCGAGAGTCCCTGCGCAGATGGAGCGATATTCGTGGAAGAATAGTTTCATTAAGACTCAAAGCAGAAATTAATGAAAAAATTTACAAAATTTGATTTGCCGGTCTCTAATTTTACTGGCATTCAATTCGGTTGGGTTTAAATAACATATTGTGCAACCTGTGAAATGCATGGCAAATTAAAGCAAATATGGCTCCCTTTTTGTCACTGTTTTTGCTTAGAAAATTGGTAAACATTAAATCATGTAAACTCTGTGATCACTCTAGGGGAATAAAACAGGAGCAGGAAGCTGAGGCCGCGACGAAGGAGATGGCGCTGGACAACACTCCTAAACTGGATCTTGGATTTAAGGAAGGACAGACAATAACCCTCAATATAGGTGTAAGAAGGGGCTTATTTTATTTATTTATCTAATATTTATTTGTTTACTTATGTATTTACCTATTTACTTACTCATTCATTCATGCATACATTCATTCATTAACTGAATCACTCGCTCACATACCCATTCACCCAACCACCTGAAATGGACTTGTTAATGTTTCCATTGAAAATGATAAAAAAAAGTAATGTCTTTGGGCATTTGCACTAAATTCATATATCATATCATATCATATCATATCATATCATATCATATCTCTGTAATAAAAGTTTACAGCCAATAGTCTGAAATAGACACTCAACATTTCAGAAGGGAAAAAGTAAAGCCCGGCCAAAACCCCAGGGATTGCAAGGTGGAGGTGGCATAGGACTCTTACCTCCTCCACCAGGTGGTGCTAGGATACCACCGCCAAACGCTGCTCCTTCACAAAATACAAATATGTCCTCAATGAACTTTAGCAATCCAGCGCCTCAGAGGGCGCAACAGCCCAGTAGCAATATTGATTTGTTAGGGGACCTGGTGGACCCATTCCAGTCCCAACCCCAGCAGAAAGCCAACCAGTCCAGTGCTCAGGATTTGTGGGGGGACTTCACCAGTGCAAGGTACTAAAATATTATTTATTGACATATTCTTAATGCTTCAACCAAAATAATAACAAAGCTTTCATAAGAGGATCAATTACGGCTTTTATTGCCGTTTATATTTTTACCAGTAGCCGCTATCGTGAAAAACTGCCCATAAATGAGAGACCTTCATTCAGATGTGTTTTATTTATTGCTCTATTTTATATTATTTATTTATTTATCTCATTTTACTTTATAAGTTACTTTATTTTCATATAATTGTGTTTGCTAAGTTCTTCCTTTTTTTCTGCCAGACATTTTTTTAATATATAAAACAAAATAATTTTAGTTTCATTTACATGATAATAGTTGTCATAAACTTCAGATGATTTGTTACATCAGGCTTTCCTTTTTCAGCTCAAATAATGACCCCTGGGAGCAATTTTAGACCAAGACAGAGAAAGAGTTATTATGTTATGAATTAAAACATCTTCCAAAGGAAGTCCTAGAAAAGAAGCGAGAACGTAAAAGATAATTTTCATGAGTTTCAGAAAAAACTCGACAAAGCAAAAAAAAAAAAGCAGTGGGAGATATCTGGACTGAACTGCATACATGGCTGTCAACATGTCAACTTCTTTAAGTCGTGTTTTCAGTGGGGTCCATTTTATTGGGTTTGACTCCGCTAATCAGGTGCTTGCATTACGATTAGCTCACCGTGATAACAAGCCAATATGGTTTCAGTTTTAAGTCAGTTATGATGGCTGTGGGCAGGACAACAGAGGGATAAGATTTCCACCCCACTGGGAGATAGTTGTAGTCAAAAGGCCTGGGGCTTGTTTCATGAAAAGTGCTTCACCCCCCCAAAAATGGTCTAAACTTGTAGCTCAAAACTGAAGTCTTCTTTAATTCAGGATGCATCTTATGTTGTTCACTTTAAATAATAAGTGTTAGTTGAAAACATTAGCTATGTCTTACTTTTCATATAATAGACACAATATGTCATGTAATAGTCCATAAGTACTACTGATTTATCATATATCAGTGAAGGCTTAAATTTTGGTCTTAAAGTATAGACCAGTTTTTGGCCTAAAATTCTTTTGTGAAACAGATCCCTGCTGATGTGGGTCATAACAAGAAAGAACAGCCCAACTTTTCTGGAAACACGGCTTTGGACCTTTTTAAAGGTTTTTGGCAACTGGATGTAAATCAAGAGGAGAGAAACAACAATAAAACTAAAAAATGTACTCTTAAAGAAGTAAGGTTTGAAAGTTCAAAGAGGAAAAAAGTGAAAATGAAAAGGACCTAAGTGTCTGAGCTATGTAGTTTCTGTGGTAGTAAATAGGTGGAGCGACTGTGATACATGGATAGTCCATTTTTCACTTGTAGGTGTCACTTCAAATCATATATAAAGAATTAAATGAAATTGATGTCAGTTAGTAATAAAGTAAGCAAGATGTGAAATATTGATATGTAAAAATGTGATCATGTGGGTCGAATACTATTTCAAGGTGAGAAGATTTTGTAAAAGATATTTTTCACATTGGAGAACAAAAACTTTTTGCTTTGAAATGATACATGTGTAAGTGATGTGTTGTTCATCCTATGTAATGTTAGCATTGTAGTCCACTAAAAAGTTGATATGTGTTGTTGGAGGGGGGGGGGGGTGAAGTCAAATAGGAGAATTGCTCATAATTTTCAAAATCAGAAATTCCAGTGTTACTTTTCCAAGACAGAGTCCTTTTTTATCACCAAAACGTTCCTTTTTGATGTAAAAAGTGACTAATTTTATAAGCTATCCATTTTAAAGTTATTACAAAAATATTATTTAAAAATAAATCAAATGATCCATTTTGTTCATATGGAGTGAGTAAAATCTGTTTTCAGAATACAAGTGTTTATTATTTGTTTTCACATTGGGCTATATGTATGTAATACTAGAGTTCATATCTGAATTGTTCAAACTTCTCACTTACTGTAGTAGTTTGTTTCATGGCTAAAGGGTTAACCTTTGTCATTTTTATGGAAAATTACATTATAAATGTACTGCAGTAACAGGGAAAAAAATAAAAATCCCCAAAAAATTAAGAAAACAATGAGCATTCAAGTTGTATTCATGGATTTTTAAGAAAATGGTAGGATGCCATATTGTTATAATAAAACTTTTTAGGTACTTAGATGATAGATCGAACTTGCAGTTGATGATGTTTTAGTTCTATATAATTATGTTTTCTTTTGGCAATTGGAATTAGTTATTAAGCTTTCCTTGTGTCAGGGATTTCAATTTATTTTTATTTTTGAAGCACATTGACATATTATAATGAGACTTCCTTAGAGAAAAGGATGATCAGGTTAAATAGGATGTATATAGTAATATATGAATAAATGTGTTATAACATAATTATATAAAAGCAATATATGTATAAATATGTATTATGAATAGCAAGGAGTTTTCAAACCAAAGCTCTGAGTGTGCTAGCTATAGGTGTTAGAAGTTAGGCATTTGAAATACTGTCTTTTTTCTAATTAGAGACAGCTTTTACCTTACTTGTGAAGCAAGGACATAGTGATAATGAAATAAGATTGACATTTTAGCAAAAGTCCATTGTTTTGATTGTTTAGTTTGGAGGCATAAGGGGCCAATGGAAGGCGGCGAATATTCCATGATTCTGGCCGTATTTCATAGGATGCTTTTCCCTATAAGGCCTGGGTCAACTTAACCATTTTTTTTCTGGATAATATCCATAAACATTTCAGTTCATTTTCTGTCATTATTATTATTATATGAAGGCTTATGTTTCAAGCATGGTAAATGTAAGTCATTCAATATCTGTTGTTCAGAAAATGTCCCTTAGTTTCTTTAAAAGACTTTGCCTTAAAACAGAATTTTACTGTCAAGGTTTTTTCTCTAAGACTTGTAATGATGGTGCAGCAGTTTTTCAATAAGTGAATTGTGCATACTTATGGTGATCTTTGTTGGATTTTTACATTCTTTTCATTCATTTAAGTCTTGTTATTTGATAACAAGTTGTAACGGGAGATATCTTTCTCTACCAGAGCTGTGAATAGATTATTTATGCAACTTGGTTTATTTCCAATGTGGTGATAGATGGTTGTCCATGTATGAAATTGAATATCGTCATGTCTTACTATGTTGATTTTCTATACTGAAAATAAAGTTAATACCCTCCCCACCCTAATATGTTATGAAATTGTCTTCTCCAACCCAAAAATATAATTATATTAACGATAATAAATGAGTAGATAAATGGACTATTTAAATGTCATTTCAAAGTTTGTCATTCAATGAAGAAAAGAAAAATTGCATTATCATTTTACCTGTTGGTGTCACTCGATAGTCTCAGTAAATTGAAATTGTATTAATTAATATTTACTGAGGTTAAAATCTATAAAATTGGAACATCACATAGCAATTCAAGCAGTACGTAAGCTCTAGGAATCATTCATATTATTATAAGTTTAATAATGATGAACAGCACTTTATATTTTAAAGTTAAATGGGGTCATACCAATTCGACTCCTCTCTTTCCTGGTGACCCAATGAGACACTAACCTACTCTTTGGCAACAGCTACTGCTTTTAGTCTGTTACAAAATTATTGTATTCTATATAGTTTAATTTTGTGTGCTATTGAAGAGGACCCCTGATACCAGGGAGTATAATGAAACAATTAGGAAAGCATATCGTATTTGTATAGACCACACTTGATGATCTTTCTGTATAAATATTTAAGCCTATCTAGTCATCAGGAAATTTAGAAGTAAACAACGACGGTTGATATAGCTATTGCAAAATCTGACGAACGTAGGGAAAAACCATGCTACCCGTACAACTTGCTTGTTTGCTGTTTTCAATAAGGTCACGTACAGAGTTATGTGGTGAATTTTGTTCATACGCGTAATGCTGGTTCTTTAAAACTGTTACATGAGAGGGTCTTTGTGTAACTTCTAACCTTTCACGCATTCAACAGACAGAATTAATTACTATTTTCAAGGTCTTTTAAATTGTTAAATAATATCCTGAATGAACTAACGCGTTTTCCTTTCTGTCTTTAAACGTACGTCTTCAGATTTCTCACATTTGGATTTGTGACAAATTTTCGGTTTGGAACAAAACTTAAAGAAAAAAAAAATGTATCCATTTGTCTGAAATTCTTTCATATTCAATGTAAAGGACATAGGTGAAAATTCTGCTATAGGGCATTTTAGATAATGATTATGACAAAACGTTGCCAGTAAGCAAAATGATAGATTTACAAAAAACAAATACATAAATAAATCAAACAAAAAATTGCGTCAGTTCTTGTCCATTATCTTAAGTGACTAATTAACCGCCTTTACTACGTCTTGATTTCGACTCCATTTTACTATAAGTTCACAATTCTTATGCCCCTTAACAGACTCATCTTACTTATATTTTTGACCCTTTTGGCGTTGGAGCAAAAATCAATGGAAAAGTATACAAATATAATCGTGTACCCCCTCCAAATCAATCACTGTAGAGGGCAAAGGTGAAGTAATAATGGCTTTGGGCAAAACTCAACAAGTTAGGAATAAAAGAAGGAATATCATGAAAGATGACAAAAATCCATATCATCTGCTTAAAACGACTTCAATGTCTGTATAACATAAGATGGAACGCTGATGAAAACTATTTGTCCATCTTTAATTTCAATGAAATTCATTTGGAATTCATAATATCTGAATATTTAGGGGGTGGGGCCCGTTCGCTGACAATTTTTATATATTAATGCATATTAAACCAGTGAGATAACAATAACTCAGCGACCGTAGCAACCGTAGCCACAAAAAACACTAGCAGCATCATCTAAATCGAGGAACTCACGCTTGTCAATACCGCCATTTTTGTTAGTGTCAATTTGTTCAAACGACAGACCAGGCTCGGTCGCGGGGACTCTGAAAACATCGAAGAATTTCGTCAGTTCTTTTTTGTCCATTTTCTCGTTGAAATCAGTGTCAAGTATATGAAATATTGCTCTGACAAAAATTCTATGTTGCCGACGTTTTCTAGGTGTAAGGTGTTCTACTGCGTTCCTCGGATTTATTTTGACCGACTCAGGATAGTTATTTCCTTCGTTGGACCTGAAATCTAGCCAAGCTTCATTCATGATATCTTCTAGTTCAGATTGTCTCTCGGTGTCTAAGTGGCGTTTTGCTCTCTGGATTACCAAGTCGATGTACTCTCGTCTTTCAAGTGTGTCATCTTGATTAACGTCCAAGTACCGGTAGAAATGACGCTTGTGATCCTAAAATGAAACCCAGATAAAGGACTGAGAGAAACAACGTGTCTTAAGGTTTGAGAGGACCTTAAACATGTACCGCCTATGTTCTCGGTCTAACCTTGAAGATAACTGAAATTATGAAATATGAAACATAAATATTGAAAGAAAATAATAGAGGGCCTAACCATCAAGTTCTGCATAAAGTTCCAAATGTTGTGATTTTCACAAATTTTATACATGTATATTAATCTTCATAGCCTAATTATAATATACAATATACTGCGTTTGAAAATGTACCACCAAGGGCATTTTTTAGGTCTAAGTTCCCAATAATTAAAAACGATAAATAACCTCAAATGAAAGTGTCTTATCTCTGCATTTCCTTTTGAAATGCCATTGTTCTCAACGAAAAAACAACTCATTTAAAACCAAGTCTTTTAATAGGATTTGATAGAAAACATCGAATCCAAGTGCACGACACGTTGACGATAATTGTTGAGATGGAGCAAATCCTTTTTTCTCGAGGAAAATTCGATTTGGCTGGAAAACCCCATATAGAATACCTTTATGCATACACTGGGCCTATATAAACGGGGTGTAGGGAGTGCGTTTTTAATGCCCAGTGTAAAGGCTCAGTGTGTTCATTGGATAATGGTAACCTCCACGTACAATATCAGCATAAACATCCCAAAAGGTAGAGTGGCCAACAACCATCGTATACAAATGCGGTAGTATGATAAAGGGGTTTGGGCAGGTCGAAAACGACCACAGAAATCTTCTCAAAAATGTATCCATTGGGAAACAACCAGCACTTTACAAAATTCAAATATCAGTACTTACATGTTTATACCCCAAAGACCTTTCTTCCACACCTCGGCTGCTACTAACTGGTGAGAGAAGGGCAACTCCGATGAGACCCACAATGAAACAAACGACCATGGAACCAGACATTTTGCAAGTCTTTGTGAGGACTTCACTAAATGATAACATATAAGACTCTCATGTATAAGCCTCTAGTCAATCGACACGAAGGAATATAAAGGTAAACAACGACGCTAGAGATATCTTTTTACAAAATATGACGAACAAAATGAAATAGATGTTGCTGCATACCCACACAAATAGCCAACTTGTTTACATACTGTTTTCTATACATACAGACCAAAGTCATGGGTTTTGTACATTGCCGGTTTATTGAAAGCATTACATATGCAGGTATTTTTAAATTCTAACTTCACTTTTTTGAGGACAAATGTGATTCCTAAAGTCCTTTATTAGTCAAAAACTTGTCACCCCTCTTTCATTAAATGTGCGAACTTATTTGCATCGAAGTTTTGCGTATTTTAGCATATTTTGATAATAAAAAGTGACTCAGAACCGGTTTGTTCTTCTCTTTGTTTCGACTCCGTTGTTGCTAAAATTAACAAATTGCGTGTTAAGCTTCTTAAGAGATTCCTCACAAATGAAACAGCAATCAAAGTATACAATGTGCTCAATCGTCTAAAAATGTCCCCTCCCCTCCAACCCTCTAAGGGCAAAGGAGTTTGGCAAAAAAAAATTATCATCCTTACATTATTATTATTATTATCTAAAATAATTCAGTTTGTGTCGGCCGTGCCTGTAGCAAAGCACCTAATATAGAGGAGGTCGGTAAAAACTTCGATTTGAATTTTGAAATTCAAATCTTTTCATAACAAAACCCAATAATCCAATAAACCGAAGGTAAAATAACGAAAAGTGCTCTGATAAATTTTGTTTAATGTGATCATGCTGGTTCTGTACAAGTGTTACATAAGGGGGTGTTTGTGTAAATTCTAACCTTTCACGCATTCAACAGACAATTAAATACCATTTTCAAGGTCTTTTAAATTGTTAAATAATTGACTAAATGAACTAACTCATTTTCCTTTCTGTCTTTAAACGCACGCCTCCAGATTTCTTACATTTGGATTTGTGACAAATTTTCGGGAAAAGAGGGAAAAGGTGAAGTAATAATGGCTTTGGGCAAAACTCAACAAGTTAAGAATAAAAGAAGGAATATCATGAAAGATGACAAAAATCCATATCATCTGCTTAAAACGACTTTATTTTGGAGTCTTTTCTGTATAAGATACAGGTAAGATGGTTCGTTGATGAATATATTTGTCCATCATTAATTTCATTGAAATTCATTGGGAATTCATAATATCTGAATATTTAGGTTGTGGGGCCCGTTTGCTTACTATTTACATGTATTTGAATATATCAAACCAGTGCGGTAACCGCCGCAACCAAGAAAACTTGCATCATCAGCCAATTCGAGGAACTCGCCCTTGTCGACACCACCATTTTTGTTAGTGTCAATTTGTTCAAATGACAGCCCCAGCTTGGCCGCGGGGACTCTGAAAACATCGAAGAATTGCGTCAGTTCTTGGTTGTCCATTTTCTCGGTGAAATCAGTGTCAAATATATAAAATATTGCTGTTATAAAAATTCTATGTTGCCGACATTTTCTTGGTGTAAGGTATTCTTCTGTATCCCCCGGGTTTAGTTTGACCGACTCAGGATAGTTATTTCCTTCGTTGGACCAGAAATCTTGCCACGCTTCAGTCATGATATCTTCTAGTTCAGATTGTCTCTCAGTGTCTAAGTGGCGTTTTGCTCTCTGGATAACCAAGTCGATATACTCTTTTCTTTCAAGTATGTCATTTTGATTAACGTCCAAGTATCGGTAGAAATGAGGCTTGTGACCCTAAAATGAAACCCAGGTAAAGGACTAAGAGAAACAACGTGTCTTAAGGTTTGACAACGAACATTAAACATGAACCGACTATGTTCTCGGTCTAAACTCAAAGAAAACTGAAAATATGAAATCTGAAACATAAGTATTGAAAGAAAATAACCATGTAATTTATGCATAAAGTTTCCGACCACAGAAATTTCCTCAAAAATGTATCCATTCGGAAACAACCAGCACTTTTCAAAATTGAAAGTAAAATTGATCAGTGCCCCTTACTTTATCAGTACTTACATGTATAAGCCCCCGAGATATTTCTTCCACACCTTGGCTGCTACTAACTGGTGAGAGAAGGGCAACTCCGATAAGACCCACAATGAAACAAACGACTGTGGAACCAGACATTTTGCAAGTCTTTGTGAGGACTTCACTAAATGATTACACATAAGACTCTTATGTATAAGCCTCTAGCCAATCGACATGAAGGAATATAAACGTAAACAACGACGCTGAGATACCTTTTTTCAAAATATGACGAACAAAATGAAAAAGATGTTGCTGTATGCCCGCACAATGAGCCAACTAGTTTACATGCTGTTTTCTTTACATACAGACTAAAGTGATGGGTTTTGTACAATGCAATTATGACGGTTTATTGTATGCATTACATATACAGGTGCTTGAAAATTCTAACCCTTTACGTGTTCCGCAAAAGAGATATCATTGCTAAGCTCAGAGTTGCTGAACTGTTTAGCTGAGTTAGTAAAATGAGAGATGAATAAATAAACAAATTAATAAATACATAAATAAGTAAACCAAATAATTTTGTCAGTTCTTGGTTGCCCATTTTCTTAAGTGACTATTAACCGCGTTTATTATCTCTAGAGTTTTACTGAGTTTACAATTTTTGTGACCCTTAACAGACTCATCATAGTTATATTTCTAACCCTGGAACAAAAATCAATGTAAAAATCGGCTAAAAAAACTTTTCCCCTCCATATCATCTACTGAAGAGGGCATAGGTGAAGTAATAATGGTTTGGGGCAAAACTCAACAAGTTAGGAATAAAAGAAGGAATATCATGAAAGATGACAAAGGTCCATATCATCTGCTTAAAACAACTTTATTTTGAAATTTGTCTGCATAAGATAAGATGGAAGGTTTATGAAAACTATTTGTGCATCATAAATTTCAATGAAATTCATTTGGAATTCATAATATCTGAATATTTAGGGGGGTGGGGTCCGTTCGCTGACGATTTTTATATATTAACGTATATCAAACCGGGAAAGTATTGATAACTCAGCTACCACCGCAACCAAGAAAACTTGCATCATCAGCCAAATCAAGGAACTCACCCTTGTCAATACCGCCATTTTTGTTAGTGTCAATTTGTTCAAATGACAGACCAAGCTTGGCCGCGGGGACTCTGAAAACATCAAAGAACTGCGTCAGTTCTTGGTTGTCCATTTTCTCGTTGAAATCGGTGTCAAATATATTATATATTGCTCTGATGAAAATTCTATGTTGTCTTCGTTTTCTAGGCGTAAGATTATCTGCTGTATCCCCTGGGTTGATTTTGACCGACTCAGGATAGCTATGTCCTTCGTTGGACCAGAAATCCAGCCAAGCTTCATTCATGATATCGTCTAGTTCAGATTGTCTCTCGGTGTCTAAGTGGCGTTTTGCTCTCTGGATTATCAACTCGATGTACTCTCGTCTTTCCAGTATGTCATTTTGATCAACGTCCAGGTACCTGACAAAATGGCCCCTGTGGCCCTGTAAGGAAGATCAGGTAAATGACTTAGAGAATCAATTAGTATTCAGGTTGGACAATTTTACTTGTTAAAGCTTTGTATAAATGCATTAATTTCTCCATAAAACTCCTTTGTTTGCCTGAACACACTTTGAACAAAGCACAGTTTAGTATATTTCCAGTACTTAACATATATAATACATGATTTTTCACAGAATCTTTCCACAAAAAATGTTGTATAACTGTAACTTACACGCCCAAACGATCCATTTCCTAATTCATATTACCCGTAAGTCGGTGGAATACGCAACTGGCCGTTTGATGTGTAGAAAGCACGGTCACTGAATTTTCCACAATTTCCCGATGCAAATCAGCCAACATTTTACAAATTAACATATTGAGAAAACAACCAGTGAAGGGATGTGCCTCTTACGTACCTCACCAGTCTTTATAAACGTCGACGATTTATCTTTGGCATCGTGAGCGCCAGGTTTGTAACCCAGTGTTAAGTTACAGTCCACACTGAGGAGTGCAACAAAGGCGAACCACACTAGCGAACCGATCATGCTGCAACTTGAGGTAATGAACTGGCCACGCTGTCTATTGGTATATATCGAACTATTTCACAAAATGTCACGGGAATCGCGGAAACAAACCACCAGCCTATCAACGGAATTGACAAAAAGTGCCCACATCTCTCCAACATTTTATTGCCATGGCCCATCAAGAAAGTTCTTAAGAAGGGTAAGTTTTACCTAAAACGCCTACAACAAAAATATAATACCTATCGAAACATAATGATATAAATTATTGCTGCCTGCATAAAGCAACGCTCGACGAAACTAGACACACGTTTTGTTTCAGAAACATTGGCACTGATATCCGGTCTTTTATTATCCGTATTGTATTCAGGTTCGAAGAGCAATTACACACACACACACACACAGATTTAAAAATGGACCGTTTTCATATCTCATCATGGAGAGGTGACATAAAAACTTCTTTATCGGTGGTATGATCACCTATGATACTGCCAGCATAGGAAATGTTATACCGGTATACCGGTAAATGTGGTTTGCTGTGGAAAACATAACACAAAACTGTCCCCTAAGAGTGCATTCCCATAGATTTTAGATCGATCTATCCCCGTGGGGAGTCTCACTAAGTTACTGTCAGGTAATCCGGCTTAAATGTCCGTCCCGCCTATTACAAGCTGTAAGGGGGTAATTAACTTTCGTGCCCGCTCGGCTGACAGCTATTTAGCGTGAACCCCAAGGGAGTTAGGTCGATCTAGTTGGATCGATCTAATCTCTGGGAATGGGGTCTTAGTTATCTCTTGTAATTTAGCAGAAAAATCGATCCCTCGACGAACGACCATATGTCTCAATAAAGTTTTGCTAAATAGTGTGCCTTTCATGCTGCACGAAATTCTATGACATTCATATACTTGTTTTAGTCAGGTGGCAATGGATTTATGAGACGTCATATATGCAACAGTGAAACTAATGCATTTTTGCGATCATAATAACAGATTTACACGCCTCTTCCTTGTTTCCAAAAATAAATAAATAAATAAATAAATAAATAAAAATAAAAACCGCATAATCACCAGATTTTCTGTATTCAGCATCACCATCTTACGGAGCTTTGTTACTATCATATTAACTTTTTTTATTTTCATTTAAGTTTTATTTTATGGAATTTTCACCGCGGTGAAAATTATTTCTACCATCTGGTTGCATTCAGCTAGAGGCGCTGTGAAGAGCCTGCGCAGTAGCCATTGTGATCGATTCATTGAAAACGCAACCTTACTAAGCTACTTATGAAAAATAGTCTACTCTGATAAATGGTAATTTGTAGTGATATATCTCTGTCACTCCGTTTTAGGTTCAATAATTTAGTCCGACAATGTTCATTTTGTGCCCCTTGACGCGTTCATCATATTTAGGCACACGGCCCCTTTTCGCTTTCAGGCAAATAATAATAATAATAGTAATAATAAAAAGAAAGGTGCTCCATTGATTCAAAACTACTCTTACTCAGCAAAGAATTTTATAAAGAGGAGGCCGGTAAAAAAAACTCTGATTTGAAATTTAAAATTCAAATCTTTTGATAAAAACCCACTAAACCAACAAAAGAACGGGAAAAAAACGAGGAACGGGTGAACTGCACAGAAAGAAATGACAGAAAATGGATTACATCTTTTTTATCCATAGACTTTATTTTGAAGTGATTTCTGTAGAAGTTAAGATAGATCAGCAAGTTTACAAAACCTTCTATAGCATGTGCCTTTGTTGATCGATAACGATACTTAAAGAACGCCGCCACGCCTGCCGCACCCCAGAAAACTGGCATAATCCGCCAGTTCAAGAAACTCGCTCTTGTCAATCCCGCCGTTTTGGTTTGTGTCAATGTGGTCAAAGGACAGACCAAGTTCAGCCACCGGGACTTGGAAAACTTCAAAGAAACGCACCAGCTCTTGGTTGTCCAACTTCTCGTCTGCGTCAGAGTCAAAAATAACGAAAAGCGCTCTGATGAAAATTCTATGTTGCCGACGTTTTCTAGGTGTAAGGTGTTCTTCTGTATCGCCCGGGTTTAGTTTGACCGACTCAGGAAAGCTATTTCCTTCGTTGGACAAGAAATCCAACCAAGCTTCATTCATGATATCGTCTAGTTCAGATTGTCTCTCGGCGTCTAAGTGGAGTTTTGCTCTCTGGATTACAAAGTCGATGTACTCTTTTCTTTCCAGTATGCCATCTTGATTAACGTCCAGGTATCGGTAAAAATGGCGTTTGTCACCCTGAAAAGAAAACCAGTCAAAAGACCTACGGAAATAGTAAATCACTGTTCCCTTGGAATAATGGTAGGCCTACCCTTCACGTGGAATATCAGAATAAACAGGAAAAAAACTGTTAATGTCTATTGCTTACAAAAGATGAAGTAAAGGGGTTTAGGTGAGTTGATACCTTTTTTTTTTCAATCCGACTAGAACATCACTTTTTAAATTTGCATATTGGCGGAACTACAACTGAAGAGATGTTTCTCTCACCTTATCATCCTTTGTGAACTGCGCAGACCTTTCTTCCACATTTTGAGCTCCAAGATTGTTCCTGACTGTTGAAAAACAGCCGACTCTGATGACTTCAACAAAAACTAACACGACTAGAAATCTCATCATGTAGCAGGGTTCAGTGAACAACATGAGCTGATGAACCAGTCACATATCATGTTGGGATATATATAGGCCAATCTCACAGATAATCACGGGATTCGCGGAAGCCAGCCACCAGCATTACGACCACATACTATAGACCCCATTCCCAGAGATTAGATCGATCCAACTAGCTCGACCTAACTCCCTGGGGGTTCACACTAAATAGCTGTCAGCCGAGCGGGTACGAAAGTTAATTACCCCCTTACAGCTTGTAGTAGGCGGGACGGACATTTAAGCCGGATTATCTGACAGTAATCTAGATCGATCTAAAGTCTATGGGAATACGCCCATAAACACTTCGTAGCTTTGAAATGAAATATTTAATATTGTTAAATATTGTTTTTTGAAAATGCTGTGATGCGTTTGTCCTGCTGTAAAACTCTCCTTCGTGGTCTTCTCGCGTACCTCTTTAAAAGGATTAAATGCAGATCGTCAAGAAAGGCTTACAGTAACCCCACCGTAGGATCCCTTTTTACCTAAAACACCTACAACATAATTTATTATGGTTTCCAAAATAATGATATCAATAATTAATTAGTGCCTGCATAAAGTTGGACACAACTAGACACTTGTTTTGTAACAGAAACATTTGTACCGAAGATCGTTTTTTTTTTCATGTGTAATATGCCTGGATTTTGACAGCAATATTTAGATTTACGAAATGGTGGCCCTTTATAAAGTCCTACATCTTGCAAATAGCTTTCGCTTTTTCTTTTAAATATTTAAAGACTGGCTCACCATGTATGATAGAATTTCACATCAAGGCTTCTCAGGATTCAAAATTTGGCACTTATTATTTCAAACTATCAACCTAAAAGACTTAAGTTGTGCGTAGGGAACGACAAGATACGCGTAACTGTTTATCTAGAGAAAAAATCATTTTATTACTGACCAAAACCAAAATCAAAGCATTTATCTGGATTCGTGCGTGACAGAATCATTTCAATGACTTTTCGTTATATACGTGTTGATAGACTGGCTTCCCATACCTAGATCGTTCTAACAGGATCAGTCTATCTCCACGGGGTTTCTCGCTAAATTGCTTTCAGCTTAAGTGGCTTAGATGTCTGGGACGCCTACTAAAGCTGCTAAATGATAGCTAATTGCCCCCTATTAGCTTCAGTAGGCGTGACAGACATCTAAGCCGCTTAAGTTAATTGCAATTAATCGAGAATCCCCTTGGAGATAGTTCGATCCAAAGTTAGTGCGATAGGGTCTGGGAATGGTCTCATACACACGCCTGCGTCTCCATGAAAATAATTTACGTGTAGATAATAATGTGCTACTCCCACACACCCCTAGTAGACAGCAAGTTAAGTTGAGTACAAGATTGCCATTGAGATTTTATGTTACATGGACAGTCTGTGGTTAGAGAGTGCTGGTTGCCTTATTTCTGAATAAATGATACCGTGATAACCTGTTGTTGAAAAATAGCCGACTTTGATAGTAGTAATTAGTAGAAATTAATGTCAGTAATAGTGAATTGAACCACCTAGCTGGCGAAGCATCCAATATCTCGTCATTTTATAACCTCATAGTTTGGATATTTTAATTTCAAATGTTGAAAATATCTTTCTCGTTTTTTTTCAGAGATACAAACTTTGCAAATGTACTTATTTTCTATGTTTACACGTTGAAAGCCCGGATTGCTTCCAACACCCCAGAAAACTTGCATAATCCGCCAGTTCAAGAAACTCGCTCTTGTCAATCGCGCCGTTTTGGTTTGTGTCAATGTGGTCAAAGGACAGACCAAGTTCAGCCGCCGGGACTTGGAAAACTTCAAAGAAACGCACCAGCTCTTGGTTGTCCAACTTCTCGTCTGCGTCAGAGTCAAAAATAACGAAAAGGGCTCTTATGAAAATTCTATGTTGCCGACGTCTTCTAGGTGTAAGGTGTTCTTCTGTATCGCCCGGGTTTAGTTTGACCGACTCAGGATAGTTATCTCCTTCGTTGGACAAGAAATCCAGCCAAGCTTCATTCATGATATCGTCTAGTTCAGATTGTCTCTCGGCGTCTAAGTGGCGTTTTGCTCTCTGGATTACCAAGTCGATATACTCTCTTCTTTCCAGTATGCCATTTTGATTAACGTCAAGGTATCGGTAAAAATGGCGTTTGTCACCCTGACAAGAAAACCAACCAAAGAACTATTGAATCAACGTTCGCTTGGAGTAATGGTAGCCTTCACGTAGGATATCAAAATAAATAGGCAAATACTGCATACAAAAGATGTAGTAAATGGATTTGGAGTTGATATCTTTTTTTTTATTCGACAGGAACATCACTTTCTAAATTTGCATATGGGCGGAACTACAACTGAAGAGATGATTCTCTCACCTTATCATCCTTTGTGAACTGCGCAGACCTTTCTTCCACATTTTGAGCTCCAAGATTGTTCCTGACTGTTGAAAAACAGCCGACTCTGATGACTCCAACAAAAACTAACACGACTAGAAATCTCATCATGTAGCAGGGTTCAGTGAACAACATGAGCTTATGAACCAGTCACATATCATTTTGGAATATATATACCTCCGGTAGGTCTATTTCAATACTAGTCAAGGGATTAGGGCTTACGCAATCTCATTTTGCGTTTGTTTGTGATCTGACCCGCATCATCTTTTGGTTGTCTTAATTTCAGCTGTTGAAAATATCTTTCTCATTTTTTTCAAAGATATAAATATTAGAAATGAGCTTATTTTTTATGTGTACGTGGACCCCTCTAACACTCAAGAAAACTTGCGCACAATCCCCCAAACCGAGAAACACGAAGAACCCAACAAAGAAACACAACTAAGAGACTAGACATGCTGCAGGTGCTTCAATTTAATGGTCGTATTTTCTGCGTGGATATATAAGCTTATCCTACCAATAGTCACGAGCGAACATAAAGGTAAACATCAAAGGCATCCACTCGTTTGAAGAGGTTCTAGCAAAATCTGGCGAACATCTAAAAATATTGTTCAAAGACGACGGAGATTGCGCCAACTACCGCCATAAATACTCTCCGTGTGCTAGCTGGTGTAAAGAAGCACAAAATTAAGTGAGTTTAAATCAGATAAAGATTTATTCAGCCAATTTATATATATAAAATATACAATAATATGGAAATAAAATGTTCTGAAAAGGCGCCGTTGTGCTTAAAACTTAAGAAGTAGTTTATTGCAGCATTACTGGTGCTATCTTTCAGGACATATAGTCATTAACAGGACACCAAGAACTGGTCATTATCTCAAAAAGCATTTTTCTCTCAAAAAATAAATAAAATCAATAAATTTAGCACCATATTCTTTATTTTAACAATGATGTTTCTGATTTTCCGACATAATTGTCTTAGATTAGTCATGTATTTTGTTGTCAGAAATGTTTACCCTTGCTATGGAACTATTTCAGTTGTAATCAAATCATAGCACTGCAGTGCAAATATTCACTAACATTTCTGTATTACTGTCGGTATTAGTATTCCAATGTGGATCTGGGGTGGGGGGCACAGTGATCTCCCCAGTTCCTCTGTACACACAAACATTAAAAAAAAAAAAAAAAAAAAAAAAAAAAAAAAAAAAAAAAAAAAAAAAAAAAAAAAAAAACGGGAAAAATTTGCGTCTCTGATCAGCACATCACATTTAAATAGTCTTTGTCAATTAGAAAATATTTACAAAATGAGCAAAAATCTTTTTTTTTTTAACATTGTCCCTTTCACCCCCCACCCCCCAAAAAAAATCCTGGATCCCCTGCTTTTTGTATCACAATATGCAGATTATTCAAGTACTGCTGTCGTAACTTGTGTGTTCACTCCACATTTTCCTTTTCCACGAAGAATTCTAAAATATCCTTTCTCTCCCCATTTTGGTCCCCAGGAGTTTTTCACAAGCCAGTAATCCTCTGTCTCAAACCAGCCCTTGTGAGTGCCAAATCCAACCAGCAACACCGCTGAAATGAAATAAACATATTATTATATAAATTTATCATGGGTTATTTTAATCACTTTTTCTACAGTAAATTCACATGTGACTGGCAGGTATAAGATGTATGAAAATTCAGAAGTCAGATTTTCAAGTTTACATTGACAGGTATCCATTTTTTTCTGTTGGAAGGTGGTCAAAATTGGAGGATGGATCAACAAAGATAATTTGGGAGACTGTCAGAAAATAGCTGTGGATCCACCCCTGGAAATGTGATAACAAAGCAACCTACGTTGGCACGGAAACTCTGAATAAGATTGGACTTACCATGATCAAGATTTTCCGGGCTACAGAAAATAGGATTAAAGACGCCAGAGTGGTAAAACTGCAGCATTTCTGCATTAAGAGCTATGGAAAGGGGTCCTACAGACATCAAGGCTTCAGCTATGATAGTTTCATTCTGGAATGAAAGATACGAGAAGTGTTTACTTCACTGAAAAAAAAATTATTAGACCTGAATAAATCATGCAATATTCATACAAATAATTTATCTTTATATTTGAAGTAAAGCAAACATCCGATTCAAATATACCCCCCGCTTCCTGAGAATATATATTCAATATACCATGACTGGTGCTTCGAACAATAGGATAACTGCACATGTACTTCGCATACAGGCTTGCCTGTATTTTTATACGCTTTCAATGCGTTCATCCTGTTGTTTAAAGCGCGGGCCATGGTATAAGTCAGTTACAACTACTTGCCGTCCACTGTATGCGACATACAAGAGCAAATTATATCTCTGCTGCGCCTCGATATAATTACGCTCCTGTACATCACATACAGTAGACAACTCATGTTGTAACTAGTATTTATATGCATCGACTGCACTATTACCTCAGGTATCGCTTTCCAGTCAGCCACCTTCAGACCTGGTACAAACTTGGCTGGATTATACTTGTGACCACAACTGACGGTCATGTTACAGAACCACACAGGGGGCCCACAGAGGGTGTTGTTATACCCTGGGGGTGGACACACCTCACATGTCCCCGGGGCTCCACCCCCTCCGGCACAGTATGGGTAAGATTCCTCAGACTCTATGCCACCCTGAATATATATCCCCAAACTTGAATGTGTCTGGCATTTTCTGTATTTGTCACACCCGGCACAATATTACATCTAACACATTCAAACCTGATAGGTGTGTGTATTGGGGCATTTTGTATAATAAAACTATTGATCACACTGAGTGAAGAGAGCAGTTATAAAAGAACAGAAATTCAAGTAAGTGGTTTGCCCCAATAAAATAAAAACTTTCAAAAGCAAAAATTACAAATAAATAAATAAATAAAATACATAAACAAACATTTTTATAGTGCGTGCTTTGAGGAATATTACACATTTGATATCAACTTTAAAAATGTTCACCCTTTCACCCTCTTATCTGCGTGGTTTTCTAAAATAAAAACATTTGTGAATGTTTTAAAAGTAAAACTCTGTAAAACCTACAGCTTTCTTGATGTACTGATAGGCAAGATATGGCCATCCTCCAAACACTCCGCAGTCTCCATGTCCTCTGAACATGACAATAAAACACAAGTCAGAAATTTAAAACACTGAAGACAATTCAAAAATTAAAAATATAACAAACAGGAGAGATTAAATCTAGAAGAACAGACCAGACCCAAGAATTACAGTTAGTGCTTACAAAATTGAAAACATAAAGGACAGGAGCAAGGAATTATAGCAGAGAAGAATGATACGAGGTACTTACAATACTGGGTCCCCAGTTCCGTCACAGTCCACTACTTGCTCCACAGAGAGACTGGTCAGAGGCTTGCCCTTCATGGCCCACTGACCTTCTAGATTTTCAATGGTGCTGAAATATCGTAATTCACTTTATATTATGCTAAATAAAATAACAATGCATTATCCATTGATGTATAAATAGCAACAAATAGAAATTTGTCTAACCTTTAATTGTCTAACCTTTTATTATTTTATAAATAATAATAAAAATAATTATAATAATAAATCGAATTCAACCTTTAGGTTGCTTTGATTTTAAATAAGTCATTATTATTATTATCATCATATATTATCACATATAAAGGTTTGGTTAATTCACTCAAACAACAAATCTGCTAAAGTGATCCCTAGTAGATAACTGGTTGTAAATACACTGTATTATTGATAATAATAATAATAATATGACAGGTTACCTGAAAGCCCAGCAGGTGCCCGCTGCCCCCTGGTCTTTGACAGGAGTGACCACTCCCTGCGTTGTCCAGTTAAACTGCACTGGTAGTGTATCTCTCACAGCCCTGGTTAAATATCTGGAAAAAGAATATAACAGGATAAAATACGATACGATAACATACAATATGATATGATATGATAGGAGAAGATGAGAGAGAGAGAGAGAGAGAGAGAGAGAGAGAGAGAGAGAGAGAGAGAGAGAGAGAGAGAGAGAGAGAGAGAGAGAGAGAGAG